GGCATGGCTCATTTTCTTGAAAGATTATCTAACCTTTATTCTTATCGTCGATACTGACGCTCTTCTGAATAGGACATGAAATCCATGAACATTCTGGTACGTTCTTTATCCTCGCAACTCATCCTTGTAATGCAGAATATAGTATTCAATAGCTCACCATGCATTGTTTCGGCCCCATATCTTCACTTCCACCCACAGATTTCGTCTGACGACAGAGCCAAGATCAATGATTTTGGTCTCGCCGAATCCGTCCTCGTGCCAACGCTTCGATGCACACCCAATGCGGAACACCCAACTGGCAAGCACCCGAGTTCTGGACACCTAACCCCCGCTACACCGAAAAGGTCGACGTTTATGCCTGCGGACTAATCTTTTGGGAGATCCTCTCCTGGGCTGACCTCGGATACCCTTATCACAACTTGACCGAGCATCAACTGTATGAGGCCGTGGGGACAAGGATGTGAGGCCGCCCCTGGATAGGCTCAGAAAGTATCCTACGTCGCTGTTGTCGCTTATTCAGGACATGTGGAGGAAAGATCCGAGAAGGAGGCCAACAATGTCGTATGTCGTTGATCGCCTTGCAGAGTACTTGCAGTGAGGCGAGGCATGAGTTGACTCGCTCCTGTTATATCTGTTTGCATACAATTTGTATATACCGCATAATATCCAATTCATCGCCAGCACCATATGCCATCCAATGACAGTACAAAAAAAAAGAGAAAAAAAAAAGAATAAAAAGAATAAAAAAATACAAGAAGCAGAAAATATTTGCCCCGAGCTTTAATGCATCTTAATACACCGAAGAGAGAGAGAGAGAGAGAGAGAAAGAGAGAGACGTATTGAGATGCAGTGTCCCATTGATTTCAGTATTATGTACCATTGACACTCAATGCTTTGGGCCCCTTTACCTCTACAAACCGCGCTATTGCCGCACCGTTCATTTGCTATGGGAACCAATCTTCTTAAGACCTCAAGGTCCATGGTCAACTCCACAAGGTTCTTCAACTGGACCAGTTGATTCATCATCTGCTCTTGCTGAGGCCGATGTAAGCTGTCCAATGATGAGGGTATTTTCCTACTACCCTCGTCCATTTGCTGACATGTGCAGCCCTGGACATCCATCCGAGTCGTAAATGTGATCCTGGCAGACAATGGGTCAGTTCCAGCTCTGTTAAAGACTCCCGACACGCCCAATGGAGCTGCAAGAAGTGTCTATCAACTGTAGGGATCTCAGTCAGATCAAAAAATCCTCAAGTTCGGACACAGCTCGAGTACCCCAAAGATTAGGTGGTATGGGGTGTGCTGAGTGAACATCCGGGTTCGCGCATAACACTCTTCCGGCTTGTCCATCAGCCCAATCCACGAAAGATGATGTCCCATCGAGAAGTCAACCCTGATCAGCTGCAACCACAAAGATACAGGCTGAGGGAAGCCTGCCAGCGTTCGGCCCAGCATGCTCGACTGATTTGCATAATATTCACGTCTTTGAATAATGTCAACTCGCCGGATCTTGGGACAAACTGCAGAAATGGTGGTGACTAACTATAGAAAAAGGTCTTCTCCTGCGTCGATTGGGAATCCATAACGTTCGAGTAACCCGGCATCTTTGTAACAAGGGTCCAAGGCAATCGCCTGTGTATCTAGGCACCGAATGTAAGTAAACGTCTCTTGGTCCGAACAACACAGCAGTCATTGTACGACAGCGGAGGACCTTTCTGGACTCCATGTTAAAGTGTGAATGTTGAGACAATGATCGAGCAAGAGTTCTAGTGTGTCCTGCTGCGGTAGTTCTGAAACAGTGAGGTTTTCGAGGCCCGATAACTGTCCTAGAGCTGCTGCGACCCTGTCCACGTCCCTGGCAACTTTCGAAAGGTTCATTCTGATCTCTGGATCTTGACTAATTAGCTTGACTCAAACATGGACAATTGTCGCGTAGGAAGCTGACATCCCCTAGCGCTAAGCGGCATGTTCTGCCTCACGCGCGCTTTTTATATTGGGAGATACGTGTCAAACTGGTGCAATTGTCTCCCAGGTACTGCAAGGAGAAAGCATTTGGCGATGGTGGCGGTCTTGATGAAATGTGCATATTGGTGGACACTGCTCCCACCTAGCCTTGTGTCGCCGCCGCTGTCGTGCTCTTGTGGGGAAGTCCATAGCGCGTATTCATAATCAAAGACACAGATAGTCCCGGTAAAGTGGCCTCAATCAGTTGTGGTTGACACGCAGACAAACGGTTAGGTCGCTCGGCGAGAGGTGTCGGGGCGATTAAGCTGACGAGCTCTGGGATCTTGATGAGTTGCAGGTCATTACGGTGAGGTTTTGTCCTTGTCGTGACGTGTTGTGGGTCCCAAGCGACGGCTTTCAGGGGCAACAGGGGATAGGCAAGAGTCAGGCATCAGCATCTTTCCTACTTTTTTCTCGACATCTTATCGAATCAATCACATCATCATCATCACATCGACCATGGTAAGCATGCGTACTTGCTCTCCTGGGCCTCTTCCATGAAAAGTGAATTGCTCGAGTCACCCTGTGCTACACCTATTCCCACTTGCCGCCTTGCATCATACCAAGGACAACGACAACCATTAACAGAGACCGTTGACATGTTGCTTGTCGTTTCGCAGGACATGCAGGATGAAGAAGTCAACCCTCAGGTGAACCTGGCGCTCGACCTGATGCGTCGCCTGCCTCCTCAAAATGCAGAGGAGAACCTGGCCTCGCTTGTCACGCTCCTTCCTGACTTGACTGAAGACTTGCTTAACACCGTTGACCAACCGCTGAAGGTCCAGACCTGTGCGAAGACAGGCAAAGAATACCTCTTGTGCGAATACAACCGCGACGGTAACTCTTACAGGTAGGCAGTGGTGCGTCGAAAGGTGCATTAGTAGCATATTTTGTCTGTAATGCCATGGGCGCTTGACCCGACATTGGTTATTAACTCGTTTAACATTCTATCGACGCTTGCTTGTAGATCACCATGGTCGAACGAGTTCTCCCCGCCTTTGGCTGAAGCAACGTATCCCTCATCAAAGCTTCGCAGACTGGAGCAGGCAGCCAACGACGCCTTTGATACCTACAGGGAACTGTACTTTGAAGGGGGTGTCTCGTCAGTATACTTTTGGGACTTGGATCCTGGATTTGCTGGAGTCGTCCTGATCAAGAAAGGTACGCCTTTCGATGTGCTTTTCAGCTGCAATAGATCCGGATCTTTTAAAGGGAGATCGTCAGTGCACACCATCACGTCTGTGCAGGAATCATCTCACCACTGATGTCCGCTTTTTTTTTTTTTTTTGTTGTTTTTATTTTCGATAGTCGGCGATGGTAACCGCAGAATGAAGGGCGCGTGGGACTCAATTCACGTCTTTGATGTTCAAGAGAAGGGTCGCAACGCACACTACCAACTGACATCGACCGTGATGTTGTACATGGTTACAAACAAGCCGGAACTCGGCCATATGAATCTGAGTGGGAGTATGACGCGCCAGGTTCGTCTATAATTTATTTTATTTTTGTGGCAAAAATAGATGCCCATTTTTGTTCTCTACGTTATGACCCAGTGGCCCAGTTCTCAAATTGGACAATGCGGCTGGAATGCCTTGCGTTCTTGCGTCTCGGATTTTCTTCATAGGCCGAGCAAGACAGTCTGGTTGATGACCCTTCGATGCACATCGCCAACATTGGACGCATGGTTGAGGAAATGGAGATCAAGATGCGACACTTGCTGAAGGACGTTTATTTCGGAAAGACGAAGGATACCGTCAATGACCTGCGTTCGAGTGAGTCGCTGGCGAAGATCAAGAGACAACAAGAAATGCAGAGGGAGATTGCGTCCAAACTTCAAGAGAGACAGCCAAAGACTCAACAGTGAATGTGTTGACTATAAAGAGGCGACTCTTTAAGTGAGCAAAGCACCCAATAAAAAAATTAAATGTTTATCTTTAATAGCACCTTTTTTTTTTTTTTTTTTTTTTTTTTTTTTTTGGCCTGGAAGAAAGACTCATTTTATGTTGGTGAATATGATCGTTTGTTATTCTTGGGGGACCGAGTGTATCTTTTTTTTTTTTCGCATGGCACATAGGAATTTTTAGAACCACGATCCTGGCGAAGCAAGATTCTATCCTTTCCCTCCGCAGGATCACTAATGTAATAGTGCATTTCGGGCGCAGTCTTTCTTCTTTTCTTGCCTATAAAAACAAAGCGATTTAGGGTAATAATCTCGCATCTTATTTTCCTACTCCACACCCCGTTCCTATACCCACAGCACCCGCTCCATCATGAACTCTGCCATGCGTCGATACCCTAATACGGCTCCGAATCATGTCGGCCCTCTTCCACAGCCAGCCCCTCAGCCGGAGCCCCACAGCCAGATAACCTCACCGGCGCACAATCCGAGGTTCTGCTCATGGCTAATCCAGTAATTGTGGATGTCGATTCGGCCAGCTTACCATCTCCGCAGATCAGTCCCGCCTCCACGGTCGTTCAAGAAGAAACATCCACATTCGCGGCCACTCACGGAGGTCGAAGTGTGTGGCATTGTATGATCATATCCCCGATCAGCTTCGTAGCTTTGTTCCCGGTGTTAGTGCTCCTGGCCGTTTGCCTGATCTTTGGCATTCGAGCTTGCCTCGCCCATTCTTAAGGTTGCCATTGATAAGAAACAAGAGGAGCCCCGTTGCTTGCTCACTCGCTCGTGATCCCCGCCGCGCTCCTTCAGATACCCGCATAGCACTTGAATTGCCTCAGCCTTCACATGGGATGGGGATTGCTTATCTATCATCGAAGCATCCCATCCACATGGAGCGATGAGGCCATACCATTTGCGCTTTCTACCTTGTGAATGAGTGCGTGCGCGGCCTGGATGAGTGCTACGGAAAGGAAAAAAGGGTTGTTCACCGTCTTCGGTACATGCGTCGTTGCATTGCATGTATAGCGCCTCTTGAATACATAGCACCAGTAGGCAGATAAGCTCATGTCTCTAACGAGGGTGGTCTCTGGGATATGAGCTAATAAACAATATTAACAGGGAGGCGTGGTTCTTTCATTTAACGAGCAATTGAGGCATGGGACTTGCGTGAAATGATGAGCCAGGTTTCTGCTCTCAGCTATGGATCCATCAAGTACATGTACTGTGACGATATTTTGCAAAAAAAGATCCTAATTTACATTAAATCAGTGCGAATTGAATTGAATCCTAGTGCTTTACAATAGAGACCACTATAAGGATTGGGAAACCAGGACCCAGATGTTGTTTACTGAACAAACGCGTCGCACTCAGGCACACTCAGACACTCCACCCACTCCATCCACCATCATTCTCGACAAAGTCTACAGCAATGGAGCACCCACACACCCCATATACCCACGGCCCCAGCAGCCGAGCTGGCTCTTCTTCCCAAAACCCAATTCCTAATGGTAAATGCACGCTCATCTTCAATGACAATCGACGCGACATTCGTCTAGACGGAGCACGTCCATGGCAGACTGGCGCTCAACGGTTCGCTCTCCTTTCGCCTACATGTCTGCATAGCAGCGTTGTCCGTCGGCGGTTCCGACAGAGGAGAGGAGCTGGAGGAGCTGGAAGAGGTGGAGCAAGAGATGGTACCCGAGACTCTTTTCGAAGGCCTCATTACTCCCTCCTGTGATGAGGTTGTCGACATGGGTCATGGCCCTTCCATGCAACCGCAATTCTCTCAACAACATGCAACCCAGCAACACCTGTCACCAAGAGCTCTAGAGAAATCTGTTCACCGTGAGATGTATCCTCGGCCCTCGGCCTTGCTTTCCAGCGGTTCCAGCGAGGCGTCCTCCTCTACATTGGTGACCAGCCTGTCGTCCCGCACGCGAAGCCGGCAAACAATATCCCAGGTCCAGGAGGGTCTGCGAGAACAACGTCGACGAGCTGTGGAGAACTCTCTGGCCGAGGCAGGAGTAGAAATGGAGCTTGCGGATGGACAGGTTTCAGGACAGAGATTAGGAATGATGATGAACACGCTGGCAGAACAAGAAATCGACCTTATGATCCAGCAAGAACGCCAGGCACTTTTGACCAAATCGACCGTATCAATGTACGAACGATACCAGCGGCATTGGGTGGTAAGTGTGAGGTTCGCACTGCCTCTAATACCTTATACTCGCAACAAGCACGCGTAAAACCTAATGAACCTGACCTAATGCTTGACTTCTATCTCTCCAGGAGTGGTGCCGTCGAAAAGGATACCCAGATATCAACGTTTACTGCAAGAAGTTTCAGCGATATATGGCTGAGAATGTTGCTGAGGAGCCAGACCCTATGAAAGGTATCGAACCTTTACGCGCCAACCCAAAGGTCCGATCTCAGCAACGGCTGGCGTACGATCCAAACCTGCCCCTGCCTTCCTACGAAACGGTGGATGCGTATATCAAGGCCGCCATCGATCTTTATGTCAGCCAGAAATCCGACTCCTCAAACAAGGCCATGCAAAACGAGCCCCACCCACGCTCCGCTCATGTCCGGACGCTCATGAAGAAGTATCAGCTAAGAGTGGCCGCGCTGAAGAAATCTATGGTCTCGACCGATCTGACCTTTGACGAGGGAAACGACTTGGAGGTGTTGAGGCAGACGATGAAGACAGCTTGGACCCACAAGTACCGGCATCTAGGCGGTGGAAGGAAGCACGATGTCGTTGGCCTCCGCACTCGGCTTAACGCTGTATGGTCCCACTATATGGTAATGCGCGGTGAAAACATGAGGATGGCTACATTGGCTGACCTCGCCACTCACACCGTCAATCAAGGAAACTCTGGAGGACAAAGTGTTGTTGGTATCTCTCTTTCGATGCTACGAGGGAAAACGAACCGCGAGGGCAAGGAGAATAAAGGAGTTATAGTGCGAAGCAAGGATGTTGAGGTCTGCCCCGTCGGTGCCTTCGTACTCTACCTCTATGAACTGTGGATGGTATGATCTCTCTCCTCTATTCCTCTATTTTTTTTTAATTTTTTTCCTTAATTTTTTTTTTTAATTTTTTTTTTTAATTTTTTTTAATTTTTTTTTTTTTCGCGCTCATAACAATCGCCTTTTCATTTCTTCCTTTGTAGCATCCAAGAAGCCCTCCGGATTTCAACGAACACTCCTGGAGCGAGATCTTCATCCTATATGCAGGAGGGGATCCGTTGAAGCAGTTGTCACACAGTGCACAGTACAGGCATGCCGCCACAATGTGGAATAAATCGGCCAACCCAACGAACAAGCCCACTCATGCGCATCGAGGTTCTGAAGCGCGCCATGCTCTCGCGGCCGGGGCGGACATCGCCTCAATTGCGCAAGCTGGACACTGGAGCGTTGATCGCGTGGCGACACATTATCTGGACCGACATTCTGCGCAGGTGGCTCTGAAAATGGCCGGGTGCACATTGCCAGGGGAGCGTCTATGGCTCGCGCGAAATACTCTCATCCCGCCTATTGACCTTCAGCGACAAGTCTTCCCATTTATCGAACACTACTTCACGGATTCCGAGGATTGGCTCGTATGGACTTCCAATATCATGATGGATCGCGATATATTCGAGGATCGGCCTTCCAACACCAGGATGAAAATTCTGAGCCAGGACATCCCCAAGCTGCGCATCCTTCTTCTATTGACACATCTGCGCAAAGTCCTTCTTCAAGACGCTGCGGTTCTCATCAATCTTCGAACTTCCGAATTTCGTTACGGCGAGCACCACATCTTCAGAGATCGTTTATTTGGCAGCACTCTATTCTTGAGGTTCCAGGAACGCTTACTTCACAGCATAGAAACTACACGCTCCCCGGTATCGGACAGCCTTGCCGCAAACGCTCCAGCCATCAACCACGAATTCCGCTCGCTGCACATGCGAGATGAGCAGAATAACCGCGTACTCAACGAGCTCCTCAAGACCACATCTGCTGTAAGAAACGAGCAGAGAGAAGACCTCATGGAGGCTACCTCCACCATTAAGGCTCGAATCGACGATCGATTCAGCGCTCTCGTCAGCTTTGCCTTCGACATATCATCTGGCCTCACTCAAGCGATAACCAATTTATCTCAGAGGGAGCAGCAGGGAGCAGATCAAGGGCGTCAACCACAGAGTCAACAGAACTTGAATGGCTTACGACAACTTCAACAGGATCAAATGCAGGGGTTGCAGCTACTCCGAAATCTGGGACCCAGCCCGCAACTAGCGCAAGCGCAAGAGCTGTACATCCAGCTTATAGAGAAAACGCAACAGCTAATTCAGCCCCAAGGACATCAGCTATTGCATACGCTCCAGCCGCATGTTCGTGTTCAACGTTCTCAAGTAGAACGACAACTGCCGGGTGAAGAACAAGAAACAGCGGCGGAGCAGGAGCAAGCGGTGGTGGAACAAGAAGATGAGCAGGAACAGCAATCGGAAATCCATCAGGAAGCCACCTTGCATCTACCGGACCAGGAACAGGCGCTTCAACCGCCAGAGCATCAACCACAGCCTGAAGAGCATGACATAGAGGACCAAATGGACCAAATGGAAGAAGCGCTGGCGTACCCTAGATATCAACCACCTTTTATTGCTGACCACATCATGCTTGGACGCGACGATCCTCTTCGAGACCAATGGAAGGAGTGGTTCTTTGGACTGAATGGGCAACCATCACTTTGGCAACTCAACAAGCACTACAAGTCCAAGTGGCGGAAGGGGAGCGACCAGAAAGCTAACACGCGGTCAAAGCAATTCTACTACAAGAGGCGTCTGATCCGCTCGGTGTTGAAAACCTCCTTGCGGATGCCTGGGTCCACATTGGAGTTGAGGGTTGAAGCAGCTCTACAATCAGTAGAAGAGCAGCTCCAAACGATGTCTATGAACCGGTACGTGAAAACACTTGACGTAGAGAGATAGAAAGTGAATAAAAAAAGCTTGCCATTATGACCATTAAGACGTGCAACATGCGACATGAGAATGGAGATGAGATGGTGCAGCCAGCCTTTTTTTTTTTTTTTTTTTTTTATTCTACAGACCTACAGACAGTAGAAAAAAGTGAGTGCATTGTATTGGGATCCTAATACTACACTAGGGGGAATCCAGAGTAATATCCCCCAAGTATTTCTTTCGAATTTGGGATACTGGCACAGTTCCCCCATCCAAAAATTTTTTAGGACCCCAATAGGAAATATACTGTGCATACACTCACCCTTTATGAATGCTGCATCTGTGCGGGAAACGTGAGCTGGAAGAGAGAGAAAAAAAATGAATGAGCGTGTAAATAAATAAATAGATGAATGAATGAAGTAATGAATGAGCGAATAAAAGGGACGGGAAATTATCGGTTTAGAGAGATTCAGGGCGGATTAGTGTGACCGAACCTAAGAAAAAGGGTGCTTTGTCGAAGTGTCGATCCGTGCGATCAATTGAAAATACCAAATACCTCATGTGGTCGTACATACGTGCGTAAAATTACATGTCCGTGCAATAAAATGGGGGCAGGGCGGTGTGCGACTGTGCCTGTAATAAACTAATAAAACTCCGCAGGTCTTATTATAGAACAGACAACCTACACAACTCTCTGTTGTGCCCAATAGACCATGCTCGCGGACATGGGACGAGGGGAGGGAGGGGGGGGCGGACACCAAGCTATTAGTGAACTTGTAAACCTCTGTAAGAATTTACACGGTTATTTTTCTTTCATGTTTCGAACAATTGCTCTTTTATAATAAACTATATACATGTATTTATTCAAGTACTTCAATGTTGGTCCGTGTGTGATCTGTCTGGTACATACAGAGGGGTACCGGCATTAAAGAACATGCTCCAGCTAGGGTTGGCTTGTACAGGCTCCGTACACAAGATCCAGGGGTATAAACGCTTCTACAGCGAATAGGGTCCAAACCCACACACAGGACACAGTGCAGCCCTCCATGGGGCCATTATCCTGTTCTTGAAGGCCAGATGTGGGCGATCGCTCGAATTAGATGTCAGACGCACTATGATCCTGTATGACATGGCTGGGTCCCTCCATCGGCAGGATGACTTGAGGAGGCATTGTCGCGGGAACATGTAAGATCGGAACTACGGAAGGGAGCGCAAGCGGAAGATGCACAATAGGGTTGATGGCGATCCTGGGATATCGATGAATGCTGGCTGGCATCTTGATAGGACGGGTATCGTTGTATGGATTAAAATGATTATCTTAAAAAAATGAAGAACGACGAACGAAGAAGCTTTCTTGTTTTATACCTCTCTCTCAAGAAACGAGCGACAGCGACGCTGAGCATGAGTTGAAGACCAAGAGGCATACCGGCTCTCCGGTCGGATGGCTCGCCCGAAATTTTGGAGGAGATGTTGAGGTTACTGCTTCGTTATTCCTGTAATGAAAGGAGAAATGAGTCGAATGGTGATTCGTTGCATGTCCCATACCATCCAAGTGAGCCGACGTGAGAATTTATTAACTCATCTAAGGACTCTGTCCATTTTCCTGAATGAAGTCTACGATCCAATGTTTGCATGGTTAAATGCTCTAATTGCTCCCTGTGGAACGATGTTCATTCCTCCAATTTTGCTGCACATAAATCCTACGTCCCAGGGGCCGCACTTGTCATTCAACGCTCGCAACTAGGAAAAAGGTGTGGGCTTTTTTTTTTTTTTTTTATCTCTTGGGTTCTTTACTAGGAACGATCCAGAATATGTCATTGCAAAAGTACACATTGCGCTCTCTCATCCCTTGATCGCCCCAGCCCAGCTTAACTGGTAACGCTATTGGGTAAGGAAAATACTCTCAACATCCGTCCATTCGCTTTCCTTTGCTCTTGATCTCATGTTCGTGATTAAACTCGTTTATTGCGTGCGGTCATTCGAGCGTAGTATGCAGTCACCCTCTCTGTTCATCTTATTTTTGTTGCAGGGTATAGTACAGAGGTTCCTACGTGTATATGTACACGCAACGTGTTTCGGGAATCAGTGCCCTGAATTTTGTTACATGCTCTTATTTTATTTCTTTCCTCTTGGCCGGATTTTTTTCTGAGATTATTTTTTAAGACGAAGGCTCAGTTGTGATGCTCTCGCAGTACGCAAGTGGGTTATGCTCCATGCAGGTCGATCCAACCATGCAATGTAAGACATATACAGCTAGGCATGTACCTATTACAGCATTAGATATTTGGAATTTGGGCATGTGGTATCTACATTGGATCACAGTTCCCACTACGCTGAAAAGCTTAATATATATTTTGGACAGCTTTTATATACATATGGCATCGATGTCTACATATATCAGAAGTAGAGTCTATTCTAGGCACGACTGGCGCTAGTTCAGAGACATCTAGAAACAGTATCACGGGAGGAAGCATCGGCGAAAGGGAGAGGAGAGAGAGTCCGAAGGGGTTGGCAACGGTCTTGGGTACTGACAAACATGTTGTAAATGCAAGCTGCTTATAAATCACGTCGCATGGTTTTTTCAATTACCCTTTCTTTATTTCATAGAACCTTTCCTTTTTGAGTGCCTGAAGTATGTATAATTCAATATTAATTCAGTGTCGTCTATTGAAAAAATATACCTCGGCATACTCAATAGGCCAGGTGCACGAAAGGATAGAGTGAGCACTTGCTCCCATCATCTAGACCGAGGACACGGCTCGAGGCGCTCTGGGGTACATGTGCACATGGTGCACATGTCGCTGGTCGGTTGTGCTCACAATAGATTTGAGTGAGGTGGAGGTGAAGGGAGACGGAGAGAATATTTAATATCCGCTGTAAGCTTAACCCTCTTTCCCATGTCCAAGTAGCCCTGTTAAGCAAAGGCTACAGCCTCACAGGTGCATGCGTGCTCTGGGAAGGCTGTCGCCATACTTCGCCCAGTACCTAGGCCACCTCCCCCATCGATCACATGTATGTTCATGTATAATCAGCAGCCAGCATGTTTCTCCTTCCCACCAACCCAAACACCAACACTGCTCCTCATGCATTTATCTGCTTGTAAATTAAGCATGTGAGTAGCTATGCTATTCATATGGTGGGCTTTGATTGAAAAAGCCGACACTATCTATCGCTATCTACGGTATCATACCGCAAGGGTGTAGGAGCCATTACCGGGGGGAGGGGGAAAGCTTCCCTGTTGTTGCGCGTCACTTGGTGAAATGCTTGAATCACTAGCTGAAAGCGCTTCGTCTACAAAATAAAAGTAAAAAATAAGGTGCTGTAAACTTTAGAATACTGCCACAAATATCAGGCATCTACCACTGTCTTTCTCTAGTCGGCGAAGACTTATTGCGCCATTTTCAAGAATATGAACGAGGTAGCCAAAAAGGTGACCGGGCCTTGGCATCGAGTTGCGTCCACTTGCCCCCCATCTATCCTTCCTCCCCTACGCTCTCGCCCCTCCACCTTTCCCGGTCGATGTGCTTTTTGACTACGCCAGCCATTCATGATTTATAGCGATGCCGCATATCCGTTGCTGGCATGTGGGATGATCGAAAAAAAGAAAGTACCTGGGCGTATGCCCTGAAAATAAAGAACGTACGAAGGATATCCATATCGATATAGTTAAGAAGTGTTCGCCTGCGAGCGACGATATGATGGGGACGTTTTCTGGCGAGACTAGAGGCGGTTCTGCACAATAGGGAAAGTAAAGATGGATCATGTTTTCCTCAAGCAAAGGCTAAGCAACAAGAAGTCTACATGAGAACATTGCAGGAGTATATAAATATGACTGTAGAAAAGCAGGGTCCTATCCATACTAAACAGGAAGGACGGGCAGATAGGGCTGTAATGGTATTGAGCACCTTACTGGTGATCTCTCTTGATCCCCCATTCAACAGCCGCCAGGTTTGAAGGATTCGAGACGAGAACGGCGCGAAGAACGTCTTCAAACGTCAATGTGGATATACGTTTCGTTGGCTCGCTACGAGAACGCGTACTTGAGGTTTGGATCTAAGAATCAAGCTGACCAATGAAATTCCTTGCTTTTAACCGTCGTTCTCCACCTTTAACCTTCACCAGTCCCCCTCTCACGCGTCTCTCCCTTGTGTCTGATCACGCCTTCATCAAGGACCGGTCTCATCATCGCCTCAGCTACAGCTTGTCCGTGCTTTTCCAGCCCAGGCAGATTCCAGCATCTAGACTTTTTCAACATATTACTACACTCATCCCACCCCTCTTCTGTCATCCACCATGACGAGGCGCCAGCCCTACGGTCAACCGCAGTCGATGTTACAACTTGGGGACGCAGCACCGTCTCTATCAGCCGTACCACATGTAATGCAAACTACATCGTCGCCTTCTCAGCATGGACCCAATTTAACCTCCAGGATACAAACCCCTACCCCCAAAACTAATCTCAGAAAAAACTTCTGGGTCTCTTCAGGAATGGATTTGTTTGTCGATTGGATAACTGATCCGCGCAACCACGAAAGACTCAACCAAAAGCGCGCGAAATTCATGTAGAGATCGCCAATTAAGTCAACGCAAGGAATAGCACCGACTGAGATCAACAGCGGGTCAAGTCCAAGATTGAATATGCAAAGAAAAAGTACGACCAAGCTAGGGCGATATTACAACAATCCGGTGCTGGAGACGTACAACGTGAACAGATGCTATCTCTTTGTCCTCATTTCGACAGATTTCATGCTGTTTATGATGGAAGCCTTGCAAGAAACCGACGTCAATCAGTCACCTTTCCGGATGATCCTCCTCATCGGCGCTCACTCAGACTCTCCACCTTGGAAGTACCTGGCAGAGATGACGGAGATGACAGAGAATATTCCCCAGAATCCAATGAGTCTGAAGCTGACATTTCAGAGGCCACAGACGACCTCCACTCAGGTATGTACTATATCATTTTCAGAGCCCTTATCAATCGGAGAAAGTTTTCTAATCCTGCGCGAGAATTTTGATGGCGATGGCAGTCGTAGCAGATAGTGACTCTCGGCGTATACGAGGCAAAAGCGTAGGATCAGCGAGGAAACGTCGAAAGCTTGACGTCTTCGAATCGCCCGTGGATGTGATTGAAGCCCCCGAAGGCTTAAAGGACGTGGGTATCAAAGCGGTGGATATCTATGCAAAGGAATTAGAGGAGAATAGGAAGGATGCTAGACGTCGGGAACAAGCGCTAGAAGCGAAGGAGCAAGCGGTTGCAGAGAAAATGAATACGTTGGCTGAGAAGTTGCTGGATATCGAAAGGAACCATTATATACTGCTGAAAAAGTGGGCTCGGGAGCAGTACGCATCATTTGTGGGACGTGTGGAACTGTTTGAGGCTGAGAAATCCGAGTTCAAGCAAGAGAAGGCCGAGTTCAAGCAAGAGAAGGCCGAGTTCAAGCAAGAGAAGGCCGAGTTCAAGCAAGAGAAGGCCGAGTTCAAGCAAGAGAAGGGAGAGTTCAATCGGCTGCATTTGGAACATGCGGTGATAAAGCGCGAGCTCGAACTAGTGAGAGTACAGCTGAATTCGTAGAATGCTACCAAATAATCTGTTGTATTAAAAGTGTCGGCTATCTCCTACGATTTATTCTGTAGTGTCTAAGTACTTGTCTCTATGGTGCTATTGATGGAATTGTCGTTGCTGAACCTGGGGTTGTGGCAAGGTTGTGGGCACCGTCCGGTTGAGGTCGGCTGCTGAGAAAGGGGCAGTACTTGAGGAGCAGATGCGTCAACGTTGTTTTTGTTATGACCAGCCATCTTGCTGGCGGAGGTGTGGCGAGAGACAAGATGAGAAGGAGGAACACAAACGCAAGAGTGCGGATATTTATTCTCTCTGCGAAGAACAATTGCTCGTCTACAACCTTATTCCCATCGAGTCAACTAATTGTTCTTTTCCCTTCCAACTAAAAATCTTTTGTCCCCAGGAACACAGCCCCAAGGTTGGGGCATAGTCTAGTCTACAATGAGTATAGAAACCCTATATTTTACAAAGGAACGCTTTCCGTAAAGGAAGCAATATCTGGCCACAGTGATGTCCTTTTAGCCTTACAGAGCTGACTCTATTGCCACTTTGAGTTCAAAAATAAGATAAAATAAAATAATAAAGTAAAATATTAAAATATTAAAACATTAAAATAAAAAAGCCAGTTTGAGTACCTCTTATCTGATGGCTGCTGTGCTGGGATCCAAACAGGCGCCTAAGATTAGCGTTCACTACCGCGAGCAATTTTCCTTTTTTGGTTATTCAACAACCTCTTTGAGCTACATGGATTTTCTGCAAACATCCTGAGTGCATCCTAAAACCCTCAGCAGACCCTGGAGCATACTTCTTCTTCCCAAAGCAGCGAGGACGCTACATTTTTTCGTATCAACAGTCGGAGAGATAAAGGCATCCTTACTTTGGAGTGCACTCACTGACGAAAAGGCAGTTAAAGGACATTAGATGATACAAATGATTTGACGACGCAGAGAAATTGTGGGACCTACAGTTTTTGCCGTTTTCTCTTATTGCGTCTACCAGGGCTCTGCAGTATGATGAATTTTTTTCCAGGTGCCTTTTAGTACAAAACAGCCATTAGTGAATTTAATTTAGGGCCCAGGCCTTACAAACATTAGAGCAGGCTGGGGAGAGAGGAGGGGGAGGACGGAGTGTACAGGACACATGCTTCTGGAGTTGTTCTCTTTTATCCTTCCACGAATTCTTGGCTTTCCACCGAAATAACAGTTCAGATATTCGACCTTTCTATCTTCCCCCCTGCCCACTGCTCTTAGCCCTTCAGCCATAATTTTATGGTCCTCAATCAAATGGATATCCACACGCACCGCTAGTTGCCTATTATAATACAGCTCGCATCTCTAGCGAACAAATCTACTTTCGGATGCCACAGTACACTCTGAAATAAATGGGGGAAACATGACTGTAATCTATTCAACTGGGTTACTTTTGCAGTGGCCATCGCCTCATACTCAGACTCGCTCTAAGGTTCCTCTTATTCTCGCGCTACATTCCGTGTACCCATCTCCACTATTTCCGTCACACATTGCCGAGAGCGGGTGTAACCCCTTCTGCTCTTGTTGCGCGCGCAAGTATCTCGTAGCCTATCTCAATCTCCACGGTGCATCCATTTTCAGAATACGCATAGACTACCTGTATCGTCGCGGTACGCAACAGACAGAATGAGAAGTAGAGCACGCTCGATCTGTCTTGATTGTACCTAACCTCCTCACCCAGGTCTCTTTTTTGCCGTCTCTTCCTTCATTACCTTACTTCCTTCTGCTCCATCAGGAACCTTCTACAAGCTCTCATCGACTTTGTCATAGCACGCCTTCTTTGGTTTTCCATACCTCTGCTAACACTTCTTCCTCGCTTCTTTCGCCTCATACTTTGCCCGCCATCAGCACTCTCTCGGCTCTCTCTTAATTCTCTTTTGTTTTCATTCTCCCTAGTCCAGCGTCAGCCTTCGCTTGGCCATCTAAAAGGCCTTTATTTATTTATGTTGTATTCCCATCCTCACTCCACAATGTTTATCCGCAAGAGCAGATTTCAATTTACCGCGGAATCCCAACGCCCAGTACCACCTCAGCGTTGACATTGTTGATATTACACCTCTCACCAGAGCAGCCAGATAAAATATCGCTATGTGTCCTCACGCGCTTGGATTTACCAACAACTGGTTAGACAAAAGACTCCCAGAATGGTTCTAAGTCTCGTCCAGCGCAAAGTTCTGAGTTCTGTTGATCGTGTTAATGGTCATGGCAACTGGCCGATCAGCATCCGTTTTAAGCGATGCCCTGCCCTATACGTATTTAGTTTCATCCGCCTACCGCAGTCCAATAGATTACACCTTCCTCCCTCCCCTCTGGTGTTTGTTACGCCTTCATCGCTTTTCCCTGCGCGCAACCTCTTCCCATGCTAGCCAGTTCACCTTCTCATGCAGACCTGATCAAGCGATGGGCACAATTCTCGGTGATAGCCAGAATGTTACCAATGACGCCTCCCGTTCTTCCTCCTTTTCTTTTATTTTCGACTAACCTTGTCCAATGAAATCTCCAATCTGTTTATTAGATAAATTAAATACATCTGTGTAGTAGACACCGAGCAACCTTCAGGAATTGAATTTCGCTCCTGTATATCGATGTGTTTTGGGCTTCTGGTATGAAGCAAAGCGCGCAGCCCAAATGTTTAACACAATCTCGGCATGCAACTGTAATTCGACGGAATGTTTTTTGTCTCCAACGCCATTTGATAAGCTGAAAAGGAATCAGAGACATAAAGATCTATTTTATTCTAGGGCACGGCAGCTGTTGGATGGATGCAAAGAATAGGCATGGAGAAGATAACGTGCAGCTTTTCTATGGTGTTGTTGGTATAATCCGCATTTGGTGACCGCACGCTGTTGAATACTGTAGTATAGTCGCTGCTAGGAAAAACTTCGCTTTCGATGGAATGTGTCCAAATGTCCTCACAAGTCTTCTTATATCAAACACCGAACCTTCTCGCGGTTCTAAAAGTTCCAGCACACCAAAAGTGTGGTTGTATACTCATGTATTTTAATGAGGGAATAACTGGACTGTGTGTGTGTTTATGATATGCAACTAAAGGTTCAAAAAATGTATAATTGCTCTCTTTTTTTCTTTCTTTGTCTTCCTACTTCCTCTTCCCTCTACACACATCCCTGACGACGACCACGACCAACGGCCTTGCTCGTCTTCATCCCTTCATTTACGACCAACCCCTCCATTTCCGCAATTGCCAGTCATGTTTAGTTCCAGCTCCAGACGATTTAATAATACTGCCGCCGTCCCCGGTGATAGTCTACCTAACCAGCACGCTGTCCCGGCCGACCCTCAAGCTGATATGGCGGCAGACGAGATGGTGATGCCTCCAGATGCCGTTGTGATCGATGTTCATGACTTTTCGGCAGGGGAGCAGCCCTCTAACGTCCTTGCCCCTCCAAACGAGGATGTTCTTACCAACAATGGTGAAGACACTATGGTGTGTACGATGTACTGTCCGAAGTATTGGATTGGGGCTGTAGTATCAGTGGGCACCCCGCTCTGCTTTTACCTCCTCTACAAGGCCATAGCCAACCGTAACTAAGTCATCCTTAAGCCTGCCCCAAGCGGATACCCTTCGTACTCCAACCGCACCACTCATTTGATACCCGGACCTGGACACTACTTTTTGGATTATTTGTTTTCCCCTCCCACTTCCTCACTTCGCACCCACCCACCCAGACCTACCCTTCCATTCACACCCGTACCTCTCTTCGAAAAGTTTATATATCTGCCACTGCCCACCGCTTTCCCAACCGTTCTTGCAACCCCTCTCTCGATGTCCTTCCGCCCGATACCGTAATTGCTGCCGAACCCCTGCCTATCCTTACCGCTGCATCATCCGATGCAGATCTCTCGACCAAAGGGCCATCCGAAAACATGACCGTTGAGGAACAAACGGGCCTTCAGACGAGCAAGACTACCAAGGTTTACCCTGGCCCGATCGAGCAATTGATACGACTCTCGACAATGAACAAGTAGCTTCCGTCGATACCGAGGACCGCTATTTCGCCTACCGTCTCCCGCTTGGTGTGCTTTTCCTGGATAGATGGAGCAATGGTGATGTCGAGTTCAAAATTCTTCACCGGTTTTCTTTTGATATCCTTTCTTTTGTTCCTTGAGGGAGCCATTTTCATCGCCGATCCCCCTCTTGGTCGAACACTCGCAAGCGCACATCGTCCCATCATAAATAACGTCTATATTCACAGGCACATGAAATAATAATAGTAAATAGTCCTAAACTCTACTTTACTCTCTGGCTGTGTGTGACATGACATAAATGGCCTCTATTGGAGCGTTCTTAACTTCAATCAATCAAAGGAGGATTGCTTCATGAATTTCATCCACACTCTTGTAGCCGAAATCGACGGAGATGAAGAGAAGTTCCGCAAAGGACACAATTCTCTCTGAGAGTAAAGTCGACGGGTACAATGGTCGTTATTGCCCAAAGGATCATGCACAAATAGCTGAGAGCATTTGGCTTTGGAAGACAAAGTCATCCTTCGTTCTTTCCCACTCGCTCTCTGGCTAGTCAGGAACCATGTGCAAAGCATTTTTTTCCACGATGTACATATACAATACAAAAATGAATCAGGGATAGATCGACGAGAAGTATATAAAACAGGGACTCCTCCACACCACCATTCATCAGCCTCCATAGACCCTGCACCCTGCGCTCTTTCCCCTTTCACTTTCACTTTCGCTTTTACTTTTTTTCACTACTGTATTTCCTTCATTTTCTACAATACCCGCCATGAATTTTACTTCACGACGTTTCCCCATTCATGGGCAAAACCCAACGATCCGAACACCTGCTGCTCCAGTCCCCGCTCCACCTAAGCTCCAGCAGCCCCTCCCAGGGATCCTCCTGCTGCCATTGGAGGATGCCCAGATCCAGCAGATCGAGCAGCAACTCCATGCACTGGTGCTAGAGGAGCAAACCCCCCCTGTGACTAGCGACATCGACAACTCCCAACACGAGTTGGATATCTTGCAAGAATCTCATCGTGATCAAGACGACGATATCATAGCTCGCTGCTGCGGTATGGGTCCTACTTCATGTGCTGCCGCCATGTCGCTTGCGGGTACATTTTTTGGCGTAACTTTTTACGTCGCAAACCAGGCCATTGCGACCAGTACCTAGCAAGAGACGGGCAACCATCGCCTCGTTGAATTAGATTTTCGTCCATGATCCCCTGAATGTCAAAACTCACCGCTTTATAGAACGAGATTTATCAAGAGAGAACAAAAAAAAAAAAGTGCATTATTCCTCGACATCTCCCTCTCCAGCCTTACCTACCTCAGGTAAATTGCTCGTGAAGATATGCTTCAGTAATAAAAAAGGTAATAAAAGAGCCTTTGAAAAAAAAAAAAAAAACACACGCGGCGCCAAAGCAAAAGCCGTAATCTTCATGAGAAAGTGTTAAAAACATAGAACCTTGGTATTCAATCGGAGCATCATTGAATGCAGGCAGGTCGCTATCATTGATAATGAGGTCTTCGTTTTTTAGGGTTAAAAGGATGCAAGGGCAATCAAAGTAGACTCGGGGAATCGAGGCAAATGTTGCATGAAAATGTTATTTTTCCTTGAGGCTGAATATACATCTGAAGTTCCAAAATTGCAATACTCCAGCTTTTCATCTTTTTATTTTTCTTTGCTTACACACGGAAAAAAACCGGCCTGCATAAGTTGTCCGTTTAGCATGTGTAATGCCTTATCGTCTCGTTGGGACCATAAGGCGCACCGAGAAGAGTCGACAGGCGGCTCCCGAGGCTGAGTTAGTTGGTTTTCCCAAAATCGCGCCTTTCATTACTGCCACTTTGCTTGCATAGTTGTATTGAATCCAATATTTGGCGCAGTTTTTCTGTTATCCCTGTCCATTGTCCCTTTCCATTGTCCCTTTCCATTTTTCCTTTCCATAGCTGATTACAGCTCGGTCATGAGGTAAAACTTACATAGGAACTCTTTTTTTTTCTACATTTTTTTTCCTGCGTTTGCGGCTCATTGTAAAAGAAGGGAGGACCCCGTGAATTTTGCCTATGGTATAAGAAAAACAATGGTACGTACGTTGTGCTGCAGCATAACTAGGTGTTGGTGAATTAAAGAAACACCCGCGTCGACCGGCTTACTGGTATGCTGTCCATTTGTGTGCCGGCGCGTTTTCCACACAAATCTACGCCATTTCATGCTAGCATTAGCACATCAAAATGCGATTTTTTTTCCCCTCATGACCAAGGACAAAATCATCAATTGGCGGAGTCGGCCGCAATGATGAAAGGCTAGAAAGGCAATGGAAGGTTTGCTTTATCGAGGCCAATTGAGCAAACAATACTCTTATATAGACTAAAACTTGGTGGCTGCAGAGCTGGATTCTCTTCATTCTGTCCTAGAGTTATGGCAAAAAAATGAGTGGTGTTCCCAATTAACATCGTACAAGACAAAACATTGTGCCCACTTTAGCCCTTTTGACGGCAGGGTATGACAAAAGGGTCCATCGACAACCTCATTTGGGACAATGGAAACACAAGCAGGCAAACAGTCATTTTCGCACAAAAGGGGGCATTTTTCATGGGAATCGATCAAAAAGGTATGTCAAAACCTTCCCGCGACGGTGTACTTCTTTCCAAATGGCCGAAACCGTGAGCGACTGGATGGCCACTCATTTTTTTTTTATTTTAGTCCAGTCGTATTCCTCATCAGTTTTATCCCTGTCTGTTTAATCCCCCGTTATAGCGAAACAATATCCGCCTGGAGTATCCGGTGACTCTCTGTAATCCTATTTTGCGCAGCGAGTTCATGCAGAGTCTCTGAAACCGTTCGAACTCACTGTGGAGCAAATGACTGCTCGCATACTTTCTGCGGTGTTGCCCATAGTTTCGGTGTTGTACGCCGCTGTTCGTGTATGCTATGCTAAGACTCGTCCATGTGCAGAGATCAATGGTAGTCTAAAAGCAATTAGGTTATTCAGGAACACGCGTAGATAAATTTGGTCCTGAATATTGGAAATTCAAAATACGCGCGACTCTGGAAGGAAATAGGTCTCGAGACTACCGCACCTGAATGGCCCATAGACGCAAGATTGATGAGTAAACGAGGACTGAGTCGACCGCTATACTAGGAGAGGATGCAGCTGGATGCCTAATGCCAGCTTACAGCATACATTTTTCTCTCGCCTGCTTCGTTTCTCTGAGAATCGATATGCCACCGCTTAGATTCAGTCGGTATTGTCCTTTTATATCGATTGGAAGCAATTGCAGCAAAAAAAATGACGAACCCACTACATAGGATAAGAGTGTCTTTCCACTGGACTTCTAAGTTATTCCAGGGTCTCTTTCGACTAATTCCCTCGCTTTGCCACCTGACCTTCGCCCATCTCTTTTTTTATCTCATTGCCCTTTCTTCAAATCGGGAATTTATCAACCTTTGCCACCATCAAAATGGCCCTACTATAGAGAAGAATAGCAGCAATAACCAGCAATAGCCATCAAAGCAGAAGAGCAAAGTCATCATAGTGGTACTACATATAAAAGAAAGGGATTTGTACCTATTTTTTTCCCTCATCGCCTTCAGCATCCTTCATTTGATCCGCCTCTGCAAGCCAACATCGCATATTCACCTGCCCTTCACATAAATACCTCCGGTTTCGTCTGTTCTGTTTTGCTTGCAACCACAGCTCGAAGTTCTTCAACACCCGTCGCCATCTTCGATCCCCACTCCGTCTTGTCCGCCTCAACAAGCTTTTTGACAGCATCTGTCCTCCAAGGCCAAATCCAACCCGCTCATCAAAGAAGGAGTATCTTTAACCGACATGATGAACTCTGCAAAGCTCATTAAGAGCAGCAGCCGCCCGGACAATGAACATCTTTCGGCCGATATTGTTAATGTGACCCCACACCAACCTAACAATAACCCACCACTGGGACCTCCAGTGCACGCAGCTCCAGCGCCTCCTGCCGCCGGGCAAGGTCAAGGCGGCAATTAACAGGACGGCCAGCCAAACAAAGGATCGCAATTACGACGATTGTGCGTCGATGAAGGTGCAGCTCCCTTGAGTGCCCTTTTTGTTTGTGTCACAGATTTGTCTTTTTTTTTTTCCCGCCAAAATCTGAGAACAGTTTTGTACATCCACTTAAATAGACTTAGACATTTCTTACCTTCAAATATACTTTTGATAGAAGCTTATAAAATAAAAATAAAAAATGCGCTTTTCTAGGAATCAAAATCTGTTCTGATGCACCCTGAAACATGACCCTCTGTCTAGCGTAGATGTATCTGTATAGCTATGGTCCTTGCCTTTGTCGGTGCTGGTCAAGAAACGGAACTGGAATATATGTACCGATGTGGATATGAATGAGTGGATGAGCGACTGAGGGAAGACGCGGTGTCGATGCGTGTGTGAATGGCTTGGTTTATGTGTCGTTCGTTGTGTTGCACAGACATTCGTCTTCTCTCTCTTTCTGCGTCTCTCTCTGCGTCCGATTTTTGTTTGCCTGAATTGCTGCTTGCAACTCCACCTCTTCCTGACACTGAGCCTCATTTTCAACTGCATATGTTTTGTCTAGCATCCAACTGCTACTGCTCCCTCCCCCCTGCTTTTCGTCATCATCTCACTACCCTCTCCCTTCCCGCAAAGAGGTAAACATAACTCGCCTTTCTCCCTCGCCCTCTCTGAGTAAGAACAGTAATTAGACTCAAGGAATTATGAATTGGATACCGCCACATCCAATCGTCGACCTTTTTTTCTTTCCACTACCGTTTCCGTACCTTCATCCTGGTCGTTCGCCACGGTTCCCACGCGTCATTGTGCTGCTTCGTATTGTTTACTTGCAGAAGCAGATCCTTACTCGATCGAGGAGCTGGCAGTAAAGAATGAACAACAGCAAAAAAAGGCGGTTGATGCAGTATAGAGTCATGCGATAATAGAGAGACGACTAATGTTGCACTCAATTACATCCTCCTTCTGACCTATTGAACGCCTCTATGACATTTTCACACACTTCGCTTTCCTATTTTTATTCTGTTTGTTTTGTCCCTTTCAACTTCGCCTACCAACGCTTTTGATTCTCAACTGATCTCTCCTTGCAGCATCCGGTTGATCAGAAAACTACAGCGACAAAGCCGATACCATTGCTCACCAGCGAATACCTTTATGCCCTCCAGCCTGCACTCAACAATGAATGACGCAAGTCTTGTTTTGCTAGAATCGTCCCAGTCCATGATTCATTATCCCAACACCCTCAGTGACATAGTGACAACAGCAACAGCAACGGCAACATTGGCCTCCGAAAATTTCAAAGAGACATTAGTCGAGACAACCAGCGACCCTATAAAGCAGCGGCGTCTAGATCGCCAGAATGGCGAAGAACTGAAGATCCAGGCCACTGTCAAAGTTGCGCCGGATATGCTGTGCGATGCTTGCACAGGCGCTCAGCCCCGCTTCGCATTGACAACCATCGCCACCACAGATACAACAAAGAAAAAACAGCTAATGCACCAAGGCGAAAAAACAAAAGAAAAACAACAACAAACACTAGGTCAACAAATGCACTCGCCCTCTCGACAGCACTTTAGCCATTCCTATACGCACCATCACCGACTCCCTCACCACCACCAACAACACCTTCACCAACAATGTCACAATGCAGGCAACGGCCACTTCAACAAAAAACACAAAAATAACAAGCGTTTCTCTTATTCAAAAGTTGGGATCGTCCCTTCTAACGAGCACTCGCAAGGACATTTAGACCGTTACGATGAAGCGCAGGATAAGGGACAGCAGAAAAGTGCCGTAGCCGATGAGGGATTTACAGGCAAAAGAATTCGAAGAGCGGAGAATGGATCGTGGGGTTTATTAGTCGACCCTACATTAAAGTGCTGCAGCATCCGTACACCACAATTGCTGACCATATCAACAACCCCATGCCCTCAACATGGAAAACAACAGTGTCCATCCCGCACGGTAGCTGACCCGTCCCATTTGTCCCCATCCTCATCCTCCTCAACGCCTAGTTCTGACCCCTTGCCTTTCACCGTAAACTCGATTCCATCGCCAAAGACGCCTTCGATTCCCGACCCGTCGACTTCGCCATCGTCAGCTCCGGAAAAACACAGAGCAGGACCAGCTGGAAATTGCACCTACACTAAAAATGATTACGAACAGCAGCAGGAGCATCAACGTTACCAGCATGGTCAGCCTGATCGCGACCATTCCACTCATAGCCATGGCATACAGTCCTCGGAGCGGCCCCGTGTGTGCAAGATGCTGGTCAAGCATCCGGCTGTAAAGTTGGACTGGAGATTGCCAGAACCAGTAAAGGCCGGAGGCGAGATGTTGCGAGGTGTACTAGTAATCAGCGCAAGGGAGCTGACAGAATCGGAACTGAAGACGAAAAAGACCCTGAGCAAGAACAAGAAGAGAAAAGAAGCGCAGAAACAATCGTTATACGATAACCGCATAGTCCATGTCGAACATATTGAAGTGGACCTTATTGGGGTTGAAGGTACGGGCCCAAGAGTGCTGAAATGTAAAAATAGCTGGCGAGGAAGATGGCGAAGGCACGAAAAATTGGCGAAGACACGAAAACTTGGCGAAGGCACGAAAAATTGACAGGGATTTGTACCCCCCACTTTTTTTTTTTTTTTTTTTTAATGCAGAAGTGACAACAGGAGCCGGGCTTCTTTCACGAGCGCGAGCCGAGCAGCATTGCTTTTTGCACAAAACTCAGGTTCTGCCTTTGGAGGAGCTCAAATGGGTACATGGCACTTCCTCTTCTTCGTCTTCTTCGGCTTCTTCATCTTCTACTCCTGCATCGACTTCTGCATCTGCTTCGCCCTCTTCCGATGTCCCAATAGCCCCGTCCTTTATCCGAACAAACACTCATACATCTGCCACCTCTGCCCTCGATTCTCCTACTTCTGAGGTGCCAGAGTCGTTTCAGTCAGGATGTATCGCCCCAGGAACCTGCCAGGGGATATCCTTCCAGATGCGCGTCCCCGAAAAGGTCAGCGGCACATTCAAGAGCGCCCACGCCTCTATTAGCTATCAACTGACAGCGTAAGTCTATTTTAGCGTTCGTCAACCATCGACTATCGACTATTGGCAATTATTGACCATAGGGGACTATTTCTTTTCACTTCTATGGACTTCAATAATATCATCTAACACCGTTCGTGGGTCTCCTCATTTTCCACACTCAGAAATGTCCATATTCGTCTCGGAAAAGAAATGTTTGTGCTCCAGCACCCTCTACCTGTCTCGCTCTTTGAGCTTGTCCAAATCTGTGCCGCCACTAAAACCGCATCCCCGTGCGGTATCGGCCCTGAAGGACCTTTGCAGTTCATCTCCAACGAGGCAGACGTCAGGCGTTCACCGACCTACTCTACCATCTCCACATCCTCGGGTACATCCAAGACCTCTTCCAGCGTACGCTTCGTGATTCTCAAGGCCAACTCTGTTCTGGGCACAGCCGTTGTAAAACCCTACAGTCTCTGGGGACTTGGGCCTGCAACATCGAGCCAGCATCATCATTATACCTATAGCAATAGCCACGGATATGGAAGGTATCGTCACCAGCGGAGCCATAGCCATGAGCAGAGCCGTCGCCATCATCATCAGCAGCACCAGAGACAGAGATCGTTCCAATCAACGACGGCCGTAGGACCCGGATCATCTGTAGCGGCTGGGAATAGCCTGTTTCCTTTTGAGGCGCAGACGATGATGAGGTCGCAAACCGCAATGCACGCAATGGGTTCTCTGCAGTTGCAACTGCAACTCTCGGAAGAGAAGGTGTCGGCGGCGAGCCATAACACGTGTTTTCAGGATGATGGGATGATCTCGGCAGAAGATCCGTATCGTCAACAGCAGCTGAAGCAGCGAAAGATGGAACTAGAGCAGGTACAACTACAGCCGCACATACAGTACACAAGTGGACGTACCCGTCAGAGTAATATGCGGAGAAAGAGTTCTGATGGACTGGACGAGGTAGGGTTCGGAGCTCACATTGACAAATCTGTGGTAGCAGCGGGGGACCAAGTGACTCTAGACATGTTTATTGTCAAATCTGATCTGATGAAGGTTGTGGATATCAAGGTCTCGCTTGTGGAGACCATCCAGGTGTTTTCGCTGCTCGACCATGATGACGCATGTGCGGTTGTGTCGCCGATAGCTTCAAGAGCTAGGATGTCTGAGGAGATTGAGGGTGCGCAGGAAGTAATGGAGAAGAATGCTGCAGCGAAGGAGACATCGCGGCGGAAACTGGTTGACACGCATGTGGTGAAGATCGCGAAGGATTACGTCCCGGCGCAATCGGAGGAGAGCCACGCAAACGATAACCATCTGAAGGGATATTACGAAGACTATGAAGATTTTAGGACAGCAAAGTCCTTGTCGGTATACAAGCTGAGCATGCGCATCCCTGTAAGACAGCTACTTCTCTTGTCCGTTGCATCAAATTGGATTGCACGTTGACCAGCTTTCTTATATTCTTTTCATTATAGGAAAATGCATTGACGATTTTGGAACGCGAACTTATGAAGGTCGAGTACATGTTCGTAATCAAATTCTTCTTCAAGGGCCGCATGGGTGCGTTTCTGGAGTTGCCGATCGAGATTGTCTCGCAGTACAATCACAATCGGATTTCAACCATCTCTGGCGCGATCTCGTGTGTTTCCAATTCTGTTCAAATCGCGATGCCACCTGTGCCTATCCTTATCAAGCGAATAGAAAGTCAATCTCCAGATCTGAGTGCTATGTCCACCTTGGATAGATTGAACCTGAACAAGGAGATCGCGACCTCGGATGCGGACAATGGCGCGGAAGTGAAGGCGCCTGACAGCGACGACAGCAGCATGGCAGAAAAGGATGAAGATATGGGCTCAACTGAGAAGGATTTTAGAGCGGCGGATGTAACGGCGATCGACGTCAAGGAGTCACACAAGGTGCTAAATCTGCCTGAAAGCACAGCCGGGGAGCAATCTCAAGACAAGGCCGCTTCTTCAAAGGACCCGGAGGATACTCCAAAATTCATCGTCAACATTCGCAGCTCAAGTCTCAAGGCCATACAGGACAAGTTTTCTGGCATCTCTTCTAAGGACCAAGTCGTTCGAGCGACCTTGATGGACTCAAACAAGAAGGTAACTTCCGTTTCCAGGATCGATTTAGGACTCAAACAGAATTCAAGCGCCACGAAAAGGGAAATCGAGGGGACCGTCTCGAGCTCGCGCCTGTCCAAGATGGAGTCCGAGGCGTTCAAATCAAACGTGGCACGAATCGCGGCTGTATTCATGGGCAAGGAATCCTCAATTACACCAAAAGTACCACTTCGGTACAGAAAATCAGAAGGAAGCACAGTGATCTTAAAAGGTGGTGATGCTATTCCAAAGATTACCGTCAACAGCACCAAAACCTTTGTTAAAAACAACAATTCCAATCGACATCCTCCACACGACAAGGATTCGCTATCACGGGCCGGCTCAGCTCCTTGCTCCCCAGCGTCGTTTCATGGGTCAGATCGTTCTTCGAGCATTGGGGGTACATCCTCGATCAGCGTTCAGCCAGCATTGCCCCTCTTGTTCGACCTCACATCTGCAGCATTGCCCTCTCCTTCAGCACAGGTAATGGCATTCCCAGATGCCTTAAAATCGCTCGGCGGTGGCGATAGTGCCAGCAGCAATAGCGTCACCAGCAGTGAGATGAAGATGACCACGCCCATTGTGATGTGCTCATCTCCGGTTTCTGAGCTGTTTGGTTCAGGTGCTGCTCAGACCAAGGGCGTATCGAGTTCACCTCGTCAGCAGCAACCTTCTTACGGACACCAGAATATGGCCTCGAATTTCCGCTCTCTGAGCGCGAGCAGTACACCCCGCGACGATGATAGCAGCAGCTGTAGTAGTGACAGCCGATCGAATCACGGTCTCGTCGCCAAGATTGCAAAGTCTTTATCATCCCCACTTCTGCGAGCTCGTGGATCGATCTCGCCGAATGGATCGAATACGAACTTGTCTTTGCTCTCGCCACAACAGCAGTCTACGGCGTTCACTCTAGCAGCAACAACGCTCTCGGCGCTGACATTGCTTTCGTCAGTGGGCCATACGGCTGCAGTGATGACGGGCGAGGGAGCCAACAACATCAACGACAGTGGCAATGGGAGTCATGGTGGCGCTGTGCTGCGCAGGAGACGACTGTCCCAGACATCTCAGTTGCCGCCTCCGCGGCCACTCAAGTCGTGTCTCAAAAAGCGAAGAGTCGTCTCTTTGGATGGAGCAAATGGATTGAAGACGTTTGCGCCCTTGCGGAGGAAGAAGGTTACGTTTGCAAAGGGATCAACACCAGCGCCTTCACCCAGAGCCTCCCAGGTCTCCTTCCCGGATCTGGAGTACCATAACCATTATCAACATTTGATGCAGGGCAATGGAACTTCGACATCTCCCGCAGTTCCGGTGATGGGTCACCCTGGAACCTTCTCAGCGGCGGGTGTTAACATGACGTTCGGCCGTTCCGCAGCTGCAGCATCTCCCCTGACTACTTCGCCATCGTTCTCACCCGTCAACCGCGGTATGTCTGACCCCCATTCAAACGTCGTGCTCGAGAGACCGCTCGTTTTGACACAGAGAACCAGAAGCTCTATCACTGCAATGACGACTCAACAACACCAGAGCCTTGGCAATGGAGTGACGACGATTGCGCGGAGCCCGAGCTCTGCCAGCCCGCGAGCACGTCTGCACCACCCCTTCGATAGCCATCCCAGCCGTTTATCTCCGCTCGAGAAGCAGCATTTGGATTTCCAGATCAAGGTGCAGAGCCCTGTGCGCATCATCCGTACGGATCAGGATCTGTCTAGTCGCGATCACAGGAACGGCGAAGATGCGGATGTGCAGGAAGAGGATGAAGATGAGGATGAGGAGGAGGAGGATATGGAGTATGATGATGACGAGGATGAGGATGATGAGGATGATGACCAGGAGACAGAGGAGGAGCGGGTCGAGCGACGACGGCAGGCCAGGGTTGCGTGGTTGTCCAAGTATGGAGATGCATTTAAGCAGGTCTATGGGGCTGTGCCAGAGCTGCCGCCCATATGAGTAGGCTCTTTTTGTTTGAGTAGGATACAGTGGTATACTCAAGACATGATCGGTCCACTTTTGCAATCTGTACGATTTTCATATAAAAATATCCCCTGCATAGCAATGCAGACCAAATCTTCTTTATGATGATTTGATAGTATCTACTTGCAAAACCAGAAGTCGCCAAGTCTTTTCCTTGCTTCCTGGGCGATGTTCTGTGGAGACATTATGCAATATCCTCGGACGATTTCCTGGGATGGATCTGAACCATAGGGGCTCCCTTCCTGAAGGTCGCCATGGATGCGGATCAAATTCCTTTTGAGGAATTCTACTGCATATCCATATCTCCCGCAATGAAGTCGTCCTCGTCCGCATCGTATCTAACATACAAAAAAAAAAAAAAAAAAAAGCCCCCAAATTATGTCATGAGGAGAAAGGGAAAGAGAGAACAGGCTACGAAGTGACTCAAGTACTTTTCTTGTTTAAGAAATTCCGTTCGCCCGACATACCGTTTCCGACGATGTCCAAATCCAGAGTTCTCGTCATCATCCGTGTTCGAAAAGTTATCGTCGTCCTCATCGACATCCTCCTCTGTCATGACGCCGTAGCTGACCCCTCGCATCGTGAAATAGATAATTCGCTTCAGTTTCCGGTTGAAGAAGAAGTAGTTGAATGACCACCTAAAATTGATTATCACGCGTACGTGTTTTTTCTTTTCTGGTCAGAATCTGTATCATCACCACGCACATATTCCATTTGATGCCAAAAAAAAAATGGAAGCAAACGCAGTCAAACTTACAGGGTGCCACCACCTTCCTCATCATTCGGGTCCGAGTCACTTTCCGGGTTATAGGAGTATACATCCGAGTCCTGAAGATCGATCAATTGGTCGATCGAGTCCCACAGGCGCAATTCCTTCACCGCACGCTCGTTCCCGTGGTTGAACAGCGTTGCGTTGATGGAATTCACCACGATCGAGATCGAGGGCTCTTTTCGAAATTGCTCCGGTTTCACATCGCTACTCGTTCACCGAAACAGGTAATGAAGGACCAGAACGTAGTATTAGCATATGCCAAATTCCATCGGTCAGCATTCCAACTAGAGCTATCCAAGCATAATATCGTCGAAAAAAAAAAAAAAAAAAAAAAGAAAGAAGCTGAACGCACGAGAAGTCATAATCTGGGAAAGAGGCATTCAGGGTTCCGATCAGATAAAATAGCGTCTTTCGGGAGGCGGGTTGGTCCATGGGTCCGAAGGGTGAGATGATGTTTCGAATACTAAATCCGTCATCATCCGGAGGACTCAGCATGTTGTTCGAGGACGGATCATATTTGTTCTCCAATTGCTTGTACAATTTCTTGTCTGCTCCTGCTGCCTTGCCTGTTGAGAGGAAGGAAAAGAATAAAATAAAATAAAAGTAGAGACAGGAACATGGGATTAGCACGGCTAGATTAACGTTGATAAGAGTTCGTTTTTGAAAGCGCATTGTCAAAGTGTGGAGAAGGGAAGGTTTTTTTGTGGGAACTGCAGAGGGGCATCGAATGATAGTTGCGTTGAGGCTGCAGAGGACATGACAAGGTTATGCTTCGCCCAGTGCTCTTTGTAAAAAGGCTGAGGAGAAAAGGTTGGGGTGATGCACGTCAATTGTGTCCGCTACTTGAGCATAGACCTTTTAGAACTCTGGTGGTTGAGAGCCTTACACGAGTATGGTTCGATACGTCCGTGTACTTTGCATTCGGGCGTGTCAAAGTTGAGGGCACTGTTGATGTCGTCGAGGCCGGGATATTCGAGGAATTTCATGCTTGGTGTTCCAGTTCGGCGTAAGTCCCAGTATGTTTTTTGAAGCGTGTGAAAATTGGAGCGGTAGCGGTGTTTGGTGTGGTTGAGTGTCAACGGTGAATCTGAGGTGCGAATAGGGACAAAGGATGTGTGTACTTGTATTTATTGCTGGGAGTGCAGGCAGCCTGTTCTTTTGGATGTGGATGTCGATGTGGATGTCGGTAATGGAGTGCAATGGGTTGATGGGAAGATTAAAAGAATCACGCCGAACGTATGACTTTGGCAAGAGTTGGGCTTGGTTGGTCGGTTTCTGTTTCATAGGAGATGCAATTGACCAATCAATTCGCGCTGAGCAGGGACCACCCTTATTTCCCGCAGTGATTGCAATGATTGCAATTGAACGAAGGCTCCAATTGCACCAAGTGAAACTGGACGCCAACCATCCCAACAAAGAAGCGCGTTTGGGCGTACCGCGCCAGTATTTCCGTACGGGATAGTCGCGACATATGGCAGTCACCCCCCTCTGCGGAATGCGCTGGGTTTTTTTTAAAGGCAAGCGGATCGCAACCTCAGCTCTTCTCATCCAACCCTTCCTTTCATTCCAATTTTCCCATACTTTTGCATTCAAAAACTCAATCACAACACATCGCATTCAAGTCATGGTCTCTCCCTCAATCCAAGCTTTGGCCAAGAAACTGCTGGTCGTCGGTGGAACGGGTGGAGTTGGTAACGTCGAGTTTGGAGTATTTGTCCTTACATTCATTAAATTTGCAAATACATCGTTAACGCCCTCCTTCCTCTTGTGGAATACCCGAACGCCATTCTAGGATTCCAGGTCTGCAAGCTGGCTGTCGCCAGAGGATGGGATGTCACCAGCTTGAGGTACTCAAAGATGACCAACACAACTACAATGTCTCCACCATTCTGTTCCATATTGGCCTATTTACTATTTATGTCATCGTTATCAAATAGCCGACGAGGAAAGCCCACTATGACCGAAGCCACCAAGGCCGACTTCGTTGCACCTCAGGGATGGACACAGAAGGTATCAGCAATGGGCACCCTATTCCTAAGCTTACCAGTCAACCAATTTGCACCAAGTACAGTGATCCGCATTGACCAACTGAAACTTTGTTTTTTGTGTTGCTATAGGTCAATTGGGCGAAGGGCGATTCACTGGAACCGAATTCTTACAAGGACACGATCGTTGGTACCAACGCGGTCGTTCACACAGTCGGCCTTCTGCTCGAGGACAACTACAAGGAGATCCTTCACAGTCAATCCCTGAACGACCTCACTAAGAACGTGCAGTCTACGTTCCGTGGGCAGAACCCACTCGATACCTCAAAGACGCCCAAGTCTGGACTCACCTATGAGAAGGTCAACCGCGACACCGGTACGAAGGACGATGTATAGATATTCAGACGAATAGAGGGAGGCATTTACAATGTGTCACTAACCATAGGAACTTCTCATAAATATTAGCGATCACGGTGGCAAACGAGGCAGGCAAGGCGGGTGTCGACAGCTTCGTATACATCTCTGCAGCATTCTCACCACCCATGGTCCCTAACCGCTACATCACCACGAAACGCGAGGCCGAACATGCTTTATTGACCCACCCATCCGGTTTCCGGCCCATCATCTTCCGTCCCGGATTCTTGTCCACGCCCGAAAGACCTATCACGTTGCCCCTGGCAGGATTGCTTCAGATCTCGAGCGCGGTGCTCGGCAACTCGTTGAGGGGTACAATTCCGTTTGCACAAGCAATGTCGACACCACCGGCGAGCATGGAGACTTTGGCGAGGGCGATCATGAACGCGGTCGAAAATGAAGATGTGAAGGGGATTGTAGATGTGGATGGAATTGAGGAGCTGGCGAATAACCCGAACAGCAAGAGCGTAGGCGCTAGTAAGAAGACGGAAGAGAAGAAGGAGGAGACGAAGGAGGAGGGGAAGGGCAGCAAGCAGGAGTAAGGCTAGCGACGACAAAGGAAGAGAAAGAGAAAGGAAGGGAAAGTAGTGATCATCGTGCATGCAAGCATATTTTTTTTTAATGTACAAACATAGCAATTGCAGTTGAAGGGTCGAGTGAAGTTGTGATAAGTATTTACACTGGTATGCTTTTAATGTATGCGTTTTGCTCCTCCGCTACTTCTACCCACGAAAATAATCAGCATGGTCTAGATCTCGCTGAAAAATAATATGAAAAAAACCGCAATCTTTTACAGACGAGCAGAGGTATCAGGAGCGCGTGCGACGGTCGCGCTGATCAAGCCCGAAGGGTCGGAGAGGGGCTGGTAGACATCCGCATGCTCCGCCAAGTTCTTCGTGCCCCTGAAGTAGCTCAAATCAACCGCAAAGAAATGACGGTTGGGCAATGCGTACGAGACACGGTCCAACCACTTCCAGTTCTGGATCGACTGGGCCGCCATCTTGTAGAGCGTCGCCTGGACCGAGGCCGACTCGTCCTCGGCAAAGGTCTTGCAGGTCACATCCCTTACAGAGTCATAGATCTTGTTGAATGGGATCTGGGCCATGTTCGATAACAGGTTCTCGGTCGAGGCCGAGGGCACATTGAACTCCCAGTTCGCATCGACACAGGTCGAGAGGATACGGTCCTTGGCTTCGGCTAAGGTCGTGTACTCGTCGCGCACAAAATCCTCGAACGACGAACCTGTGGTCTTGAGAACCAACAATCCCGCGATCGCGGATTTGAGCTCGACGGATCGGCGGCCGCTGGCGCCACGCTTGATGAAGATGTCGGTCTGACGGGTCTCATCACCATCACGCCAGAAAGAGTGTGTGTGGGGCTTGCCGTCGATGATCATGCGGGCCCAGCGGTGGCGGATGATCGTGACATGAGCGCCCTCGACCCAGGCGTAGGTGTTCAGGAAATGGTTGGCGATCTCGGCAGCGAAGAGTTCGAGCGTGTCGACGACCTTGGAGGATTTGGCGAGGACATAGCAGGTGTTCTTGACGGAATCCGTTGCGACGACGGCCTTGTTCGAGGCCTCTGTGTAGGAGGTCGTGAAGGAGGCGCCGGAGAGAAGGCAGCGGATCGTGAGATCGTCGACTCGATGAACCTTGGAGTCGCGATGGACCTTGAGCAGACGGACCCTGTCCTTTCCGTACTCTTGCTTGTCGAGGTAGACGTTGACAGTGGGGTTGGCCATTGTTGTTTGTTTTTGAGAGGAGATATGAGTTCTTTGGAAGAAGAGGTAGTGTCCGTTCGGTGGAAGAAAAGAGTGGAGATGGATGAGTGTGGCTGTAGAATAAAAAAAAAAAAAGCATGAAGAAGGCAGAGAACGACCGGTATATAAACGTTTCTAGGAAACAATGAAGCACATAGGGGGGATTTGTATTAATAACAAAGGAATGTGGAGAAGCATACGGGGTAAACATTTACAAAAAACTGGGGACCACGGAGGCGTCGGAGCGGTTCCGATGATCGAGGAACAAGACGGAACTGAGCTGGGCCCCAGTTTTTTTTACAACGGAACTAGAAAAATGCGGGGTAGCTGCTTCCGACCGACCCAGGACATTGTGTGCCTGGCTGCACACGACCGTGCTAGGCTCCGGCAGTAGGGTATATACATATACGCGTCTGTACTTCCTCTTGCTTTCTCTGCATCCATGCCTTTGCTTCTGCCAGTCGGTTGTCTCTTGCATGCTGTTTCAGGCATTGGAACCTTCTGTAGTAACCATATCTCTCCCCCCTAAACGCCCTCGCACGAAATGCGGGGAGATCCTAATCAATTGCCCTTCTTTTCGATGGCTGGTGGTACCTGAGCAGCTCCATCAGGTTTCACTTTTTGTTTACGCGACTGAAACATGTCACAGCCAACGCTTCTCGCTCAAGCTGAAGGAGCATGTCCACCGAGTGGACTCGTCTTGCAATTTGTAGGATACTGCACTCAGAGGATAGACTAGCAAGGCACAATCTTATCTATACATGTGTTGTTTTTATTGATGTGTTGTCTAGACCATAAAGTGGTGTGTAGTGTGCTTCGTTTTTGTTTGCAAGGAGCAAGATTTACAGCTTGGACTTGGGAGCCTCGAGCAAGGTTTGCTCAAACAGCTTCCTCATCTCAGTGGCAGCCTCCTTCAAGTAGTGGTGCAGGTGGTGAGGACGCATTTCGTTCAAAGCAGCGACGTTGAAGCTGAGGTTGTTCTCGTTGATCATGTAGGCAACTCCGTAACCATCAGGCACGACCTCGCCCCAGCCGTAACCATCAAAGTACTCGCACGACAGCTGAGAGGTCGACAGGTTCCAGTGGCTCGAGCGGCTGAAAATCTCCTGGGTGAAGATCGTAGGCTTGCTCTCGTGTGACTTGAGCGACAGACGGAGACCCAGCAGGTGACGATCGACACCCTTACCCTCCACAGCATTGGCCATGTAGCTCACATGCGAATCGAGTGCCTTCTTGAACAGAGCAGTCTTATCAGCAGCAGAGACATGAGGGTCCACCATGGACTTGACCCAAGCAACTGACTCAGTGCTGACAGTACGGCAGGTCTCAGTACGGCCGTGCTGGAACTTGCGAACCTGGGCAGACTCGTAGGTGGGGCGAGAAACACCGTGCATCTTGTAGTAGGCGAGCTGGATGATCATCTGAACATAGGCATCAGGGGAGCACTTGAACTTCTTGATCAAGCCCTTGCCATATCCCTCGTAGTTCTGGACATAGAGGCCGTGCTTGTTGATCAGCTCCTCAAAGTTCTTCTCCGAGGTCTCGATCGCCTTGTGGACGGCAGTGTTGAAGGCAAAGTTGAGCTTCTGAGGGACCTCTAAGCTGGAGGAGACCGTGGCAGATCCGTGATCGATCTTGTTCTTGGCCAAAGACGTGCAGACATAGTCGTTCAAGCGGCAGGTGGGAGTTCCGTCCATGGTAGAATGCTATTTTGATATCCAATGCATTTTTCACCTCCGTCAGTATCCCTGCAGTATATTGTGAGTTCTGATGATCGTTGAATATCGAACAGCAACTGCTTTCATTTCCCTACCTCGCCCATGAAACCGGCCTTGCCGTTCTCAAAGACAATGAATTGGAGGGCCTTGTCAAAGAAACGGTTGCGGCCATCTCCGTGCCAGCAGGCGCGCGAGATCTCATCACGAGTGACGAGGCTGGAGTCGTCCAAGCAGAGCAAGAAAACCGAGGACTCGATCTTGCGGAGGAGCTTCTCGTTATGAGAGCCAGCGTTGATCAACGTCTTACGGGCCTAGTAGATGGAGCGCAAAAATAAAATAAAAAAAAGTTTCGGTCGAGTCAGTAAATGCAAGTGTTAAATGGCACAAAACATCAACGGATGAATTGTGTCCGTCAAAATTGAGGTTTCCTTGCTTTCACTGCCGCTGATTGCAGTATCGGGCCGAGAATGACGATCAGGCCCAGCCCAGGTTGGATCCCAAAGTATCTACCATTCACCAAACAGCGGCCTCCCCGACGAACGCCGAACTTTAAATTATAGAAGCCGATCCGTGCTTGCTGAAGCGAAGTATTGTCGTAATAAATGAGGTCGACAAGGATGGCATCCAATGGGTCCGCTTCCTGCAATGCTCTTTTGTCTCCTTGTCAAGAAAAACCGTGTCGGCTCTAGTCCTGTGGAATGTTCAATCTTTTGTCGCTTTAGAATAAAAATGAGTGTCGGAGTAATCAGCACACATACCTCGGTCCAGATATCACGGTTATCCGAGGTCAAAGCACCGATGGCGGGGTCCTTGCGGTCGCCAGCCAACTTGATGATGGCGTCCAGCTGGGCCTCGATGTCGGCAGTGCTCAGAGGCTTGCCATCCTTGATCAGATCAAAGGTGAAGAACTGGTTGTGGCGGACGACGGCGACGTGGTTGTTCTTGGCGGGGTCAAAGGCGAGCTCGAAGTCGCTGGGCTTGGCAGGGTATCTGCAGGCGTTGAACATGTACTTGTAGGTCGAGGAGTCCAGGGGGCTCTTCCTGGCCATCTCGGGTGGCAAAGTCTCATCCACGACCTGTCTACGGAAGTCCATGGCGGCCTGAATGATGGCGGCAGCACGCTGGGTGGGCTTCGTGCGGATAGAATCGTCCTTGTAGACGTAAAAGTACGAGACATAGATGACGACGGGATCACGGTAGCCAAAGTAGGCGAGATCGTTCCACCAGTCCTCAAGCCAGTTGACGGTCTTGGGATCGTTAGCCTTGGCGAGCAGGCGCCTCTGGAGCTCTTCACCGACACCACCGGGCTTCTTGAACTCGGCAACGGCGGCAGTAGTCTCCTCGAACTCCTTGTCGTTGAGCAGAGGGCGAACTGACTTGAGGTAGCGTGCGCAGGTCTCCTCTAGGGTGGGGACAGGCAGTTTGGGGAGGGCAGTGTCGTAGCGGTAGAGGGGTCCCTTGGTCATATCGGGCTGGCCCAGACCAGGGAAGGTCGCGGGGGCAGCACTGGTGTAGTTTCTATGGAGCATGCTTGAGATGATCTTGTTTGATGATGAGGAAGAGAGAGGAGAGAAGAGAGTGGATGCGATGGAGCGATGGAGCGATGGTGAGTGTTCCTGATTGAATGGATGGGTATGTTTTTACTCCTGAATAGTCTAGGGTGGTTGGTTGGCTGGCTGAGGTTACCTTTGGCTGGACAGCAGCAGTGCTGGGCTTGAAAGAAGTGATCTTGAGCGAGTTGCGGAGGAAGGGTCTGGAGACTGAGGCCAAGGAGCGGAGAGTAGACATCTTTCTTTTTTAAAGGCGGGGCAGCGGAGCAAATACGAAATGGGATGATACGATGCACAGCGACCATTCGGAAGGAAGAAAGTGGAGGAGAGAGCAGGCCAGCCCCACCCGAGGGAATGTACTCGCCCAATTGCGCTGTTGAAGGAGACCAAGCGCCACGTGCGAGGGTGAGACATCTATTCCCCCCTCCTCCTTCTCTTGCGTCGACCCCTCTTTCTCGCGTCGATCCTTCTCTCTTCTCTTTTCCCCCTCTCGCCGTTAACTGACCCTCTGCTCTGTGGGCCATAAAGGATCTACAGTGTATATGTAGCGTGTTGATCGACCCTGCGGCTGTGCTGTAAACCAAGTCTGTCTCACTGCCTCTTCTGTCCCTGTAGTCTGCCCCGCACACCCTCCTTCGCTTCTTACTCTACCCCGCACTCTCTCTCCTGTCCTCTTTTCCCATTCACCTGCCATTCCTGATTGAACAATGAGCGAACGCACTGTGCTCATTCCTGAACTGGCCGAGCTCATCGCAATCGACCTCACGCCTCCTGACCTCGCAGCCTGTGTCCGTGTCGACCGAACCTGGTTCAGTACCTTCATTCCTCAGCTCTATCGACACATCTGTGTCTTCGACTTTGACTTCCACAGCCACGAGAACCAAACCAACCGAAAATCCCGTTTCGAAAAATGGCTTCAGTTTTGGTTCCCAAAGAAACTCGGCGGAAGCCAGGTCTACAAGTACGCACACCACATCAGGACTATCTCCACCGCCAATGTCCATTCCCTCCAGTACCTGGGCGATACCTGCACCAACCTGACGCATGCGACCGTCGAGGAGTTCCTCTCAAAGAGGACTGAATGTCGGGCATGTCCATTCTTTGATAGAGAGATCCGTTACTGGGAAGACTACTTCCGCAAGACGACCCTTCTTTGGACCGTCGACATCTGGGAGGCTCTCATCCAGAGAAACCCTCGTCTGGTCTATGTCAGTATGGATCTATACCAGATCAAGGATGGTCTTCACAGGATTGCCGAGGCCTTGGGCAACCTCGATCATCTACGAGAGACCTTTCTACGCTGGCCCCAAGCAAAAAATACTATCCAGCTCTTCCTTGACCAGTGCCCCTCTATCCATACATTTACCATTTGCATTGAGCCGCACTGAAAAAAAAAAAAAAAAAAAAAAAGCATGCATGCATGCTCTCCCACAATCCATTTACTTTCTTTCAACTCACACGCTTCGCTTCTCTCTCAACTTTTCTCTCCTTTCTTCATACTCCTACCTTTCCGTCTTTGCATCTTCAACTGCGACAGTCTCTTATTTCAGATTCCATGCGGCGCACCGCAAGAGGCAGCTTCCCGAAGACACTGTTCAACTTTGTCAGGCGGCTTTCGGGACATGCTTTTTTTTTTTTCAGTGCGGCTGACAATTTGCATGCATGCAAAAGAACCACTTCACAGCCTATTTTCGACTTTGCTAATAACTCGAGTTCTATCCCAGCCTGAGAAAGATGGTGCAGAATTTCCATTTATGGTAATGTGCTTGCCTGCTGCCTGCACGTGATGGCGTCCTCAGGCTGGTTACATTTCTTGCAGTGGAATCATCTACAGTCCTTTTTGTGAAATAGCCGAACTTTCATAGTAAAAGTTGGGCTATTTCGACTGAATTGAAATACATACACGAGGCTATTCATTTTTTGTGATGGCTGAAATACGTTATTTCCCTGCAATCTTTACGCTCATGACTACATCAAAACGCGTGTCATTCTCACTCTCACTTTGCTTGGAGATGAGAACGCGAGCTACCGAAAAACAGTACGGTACTTGATTCGTAAATCTTACTAGAAATAAACTCATCATGTGACCTCTTAAATCCTTGCAAAAAAATGAATAGCCTCGTGTATATATTTCATTTCAGTCGAAATAGCCCAACTTTTACTATGAAAGTTCGGCTATTTCACAAAAAGGACTGTAGGCTCGTTAAAAGTTTCGACCAATGGGGAAATTTTTGTGCATGGTCTCAAACTTGTGCGATCGAAAATAGAAATAAGCGCATTTTTAGCGCCAACCTTATCCTACATCGACATCTAGAAATGGTTTCGCAAACTGGCTATTCATCCACATTCTCATTGAGCTACAGCCTTCAAAAGTTGCCCATCACCTCGACATCTCGCTTTATGGGAAACACTTCGTAAGGACCGCCGGTGATTCCTGTTCACAAGCGCCGGTTTACTTAAGCCAGGTTCAGGCGTATTTCTGAAAAACTATTATTTACAGGCTTTTTTTCATTTAATTCATTCAAAATCTCACTTTTCGTTCACAGCATGCGGACCAACGCCGGTGATTCTTGTTATTAAACACCACTTTGCTTAGCCAAGTTCGTGGGCTTCAATGAAAAACCATTATCCACTGGCGTTTTTCATTCGGCAATCATGAAAACTCCCAGCATTCCAGGACTTTTGAGGAGTATTCAATATGTAGTCAAAAAATAATATATAAATTTCACAAAAAAAATCCAGCGGCTATGCCTAGTAGGTCTACAGGGATTGTGTGAGGTTTTTATTTTTATATTGCAAGAGGAAATGTGGAGCTTCTTTTAATGGTGGGAAGGGGATGGCCAGCTGGTGATGCCCAAAGCGCCTTCGCATCCATCGCTACTACGTCCCATGTTGCAGTGAGGTCCCTTTTCGTGGCAGAAGCGGATGCACCAGCGTCCGCTATCGGGCTCGAGGAGTTCGACAAAGACAGGGTAGCCGGGGGCGATGTTGTCGCCAGAGTCCTTGTGGACATCGTACTGTCCGCCACCGTCCTTCTTGAGGAGACCCACGCTGGCGTCGTTCATGAAACCCCAAGCCTGGACATAGTCCTTGGTGACCTGGAAGTTCTTGGTGGCAAAGAACTTGGAGGGCAACAACTTGGGCTTGCCATCAGTGCACTGGACATGGCCGTTTTGCTCTGTGTCGCCAATGAGTTTACCGGGAGGAGGAAGGATAAGGCAGACTAAGCCAGACTTAGGGTCGATACGGACAACGTTGGTAGCTTCGCTACGGATCAGACCGAGAGCCAGAACGGAAAGGACGGAGAAGAGGGCGAGACGCATGGTGTGCTTGTTTTCTTTGGGGGGTATGAGGAATGGAGTGGTTGTCGGGGGGGAGAGGAGAGAGGTAGTTTTTTGGAGTGAAAGGAATGTGTTCTGGATAACCTTTTTATAGATTCCAGGACAATGGGCGCGAAAACTACGTCACCAAAGTGGCGATTCGCGCGCCCCTCCTAGATCAAAACTAAGACGAAATTAATTGAGACGACCTGTGCCCCTGAACGCTCTCCGTCGCTGCTGCTAGTGGAGCAAGAACTTGCTACTTGCATCCATGGGTAGTTCCCATCGATATCTTTGGGCTTGAGTTGCAGGGACCGCTGCTGGCTAATCAGATGGTCACAGACTGCATTGCTGATGTTGTGGCCGGCCACGATGTCGCGGTGCATGTATGTCTTGCAGTTTGAACAATAAAGTCGTCGGATGTTAACTTGGCCCACAAACTCCTCGCATATTGTGCACTTTTTGGAAGTGTAATACTCGTTCACATCCACAACGATATAGCCAAGAGATCTGACCTCGAGAGAGCCAGAAAGATTAAGTAGAAATACGATATTAGTCATCACATTGTGCCGATTCTATTGTACCATAGATAACAATCATAGGCTAGCGAAGAGACACCACCATCGACCACTTACTTTTTGGACAAAGTACGATTGGAAAGACTCATGCAAGGAGGACAGTTTAGTCTTCGTAGAAAACTATCCAAGACCCACGCCGATGATGACCTTGTTGCTGTCTTCTCTCTTGGCACCTAGTGATTCTTCAACCAGTTTGAGAAGACGGCTGGCAATCTGCTTGTACTCCTCGTCTCGCGCCTTTCTAGCGTTCCACTTGTGCTTCTTCAGAATCACACTGCCATAGAAGGAATCGAGGTGAGTCTCCGCGTCCCGCAGCTTGTCAGTATAGTCTTTGATGCTTGCTGCAGAGCCGTGGAGGTGCGGTAGATTGCTCTCGATGCTGCTAATAGATCTTGAAGCATAGACCATCATTCCTTTCCTTAGCTTCAACCAACGCCTGTGCTTCAGTGTGGGCTGATACACCGCCTTCTGCTTGACAACCAGGTTGTAAAACTTGGTAGATGGTTTCTTGGTCATAACAGCCTCTCCTGCTCCTCCGACATTCGACGGGGATGGCTCTTTGATAGCGCCATTGGTTTCTTGTTCTTGATCTACGGTGAGTTGCTCGCAACTAGGCAGAAGGGCGCTTACTCTGATCACAAATGCTTGTCCTTGATCCAGACCTAAAATCTCGATCTGCTTCAGATCATATCCCCAAAGATCCGAGACGTCCTGTTTGGTCTTCACCACATTCCTGATCTCGGTCAAGGAATAATCCGTGCCGCCGAGAGTAGAATTGATGCGAGGTGATAGCTTGGCCTCGGGAAGTCGTCTGTACTTGACCGCATTGAGTTCGTTAAGCTTGAATGCGAGCAACTGAAGCCGAAACCCATCTGTCCGAATCAATCCACGTAAAGCATAGCCGCTCTCCTTGTAAGTGTTGGGCCCGAAGTTATCGTTTCGAATGGCTTCAATATGCTCTCTCATCTTATCAAGCGTCATCATCAAGGTCGACCGACCTGTGGTAATCTTTGAACCTTTTCCGTTCTCCCGGCGTATATCCTCTAATGTGGGTGATCAGCTTGGTGAGGAGATGTTCCGGTTCCTTTCTAGAGAGCCATAGCCCAACGTCCGCCTGCGAGATAGCTTCGATGTACTCGAAACTTGGAAAGTCCTGGTGGGTATACATTCGAAGTTAATATCGCAAGGCGTTGTCATGCCAGAAGATCTTAATGAGATCCAGCTCTGTAATAGAAATGAACTTGTCATCGAAGGATGACATCGGCACTAACGGTCGGCGACTCATACAGACCGTGCTGAGGAGAATAAGGTTCTCGACTGCGGAAATATTAGGCTCAACGTTGCTCCTTGCGTCTGAAGGCAAAAGACCCTTTTTCTTAGGAGCCTCGATTTACATTAAAAGGACAGACATTACCAGAAATTTAGCTCTAAATATAGCAACAATGTAGTGCTGCATATTCAGCCGAGTCCAGTGTGTACTTTATTACCATATAAATCTATTATCCCTGAAACTTAATTTAAAGTTGGTTAATAAATATGCAATAAACGAACAAAGTTTGAGGCTTCAAATGAGGAGCCCATTGCAGAAAATAAGATTACCCGCTTTAGCGAACAACCATATACTATGCGATCAGACTAACGCTTCGGCGCGGCACGAAGTTATCTTTGACAAACAACCGCGCATCGCAATGCATCCTGCTTTAGCGCAGCCTGTAGTCAATCCTGACGTACTATCACACTCTGCAATATCGTCTTATGGCACTTGCAATTCATATGTCAAAGATATCCCTGAAATAATTGATCTCGAAGAGATGTACAAACAAGAACGACAAACGACAGACTGGTAAAAGCAGCAACGAGGACTATGAATGTCTAAACCATCAAATTCGAATCTCGTCGTTGAATAAAATCGATGATGGTACTTTCAAATTCACCAAATTGAGCGTTAACAAAGACTAATCGGACAGAAGAATCACTTTTGAGGACGAAAAACATGAAGCCTTGCTTGATATAAGTGCAACAGACACTTGTATTCGGCATGACATTGCTCTCAAATACGGAATAAAAGTTAATCCTGCTGAGGGTATCATCGCGCTTGCCGATGAAAGCCAAACTATCCCTCGAATTGGTCAGACTGAAAACATTGAATTGCAGTACGGCACTCGAATTGTGTCAGCACCTATGGAGGTCACCAATCAATCATATCCGTTCATCATAGGAATGGATCTCTTTCATCAATTCGGTTTTAGCATTTCAGCTTTCGTCAATCCTGGCGATGATGCGATGCAACTCTCTGAATCTGAAGAAGATACCAAACCTTCATTAATTCCTGGTGAACAGCCTTCAGACGAAAAGTCAAAGGCATTCCAAGCTGCAAAACATAAGTTTCTCGAACGAATTGCTGAGTATCTGAAGTAAAATGCTGAAATACCAAAAACGAGCTTCTGTCCTGTACCAGAAATGAAGGCACATTTGCCTGTTCCTGAGGGCACTGTACTATTCAGAAGGCCCAGACCGTTTGCTGAAAAGCAAATGAGCATCTTCGAAGACACTATTCAAAAATGGCTACGCGATGATGTTATCACGCTTGCGCCAGTTAGCAATGTGCACAATAATACGCTAACGCTTGCTGCTAAAAAGGATAAGCATGGTAAGAAGACGCTGTGACGAGTCTGCCTTGACCCCAGACCGTTGAATAAGCATCTGCCGGATAACAATTATCCCTTACCGTTAAACAACGATATTTTTACTCGTCTTGGTGGACACACAATCTTTACTACAATTGATCTCTCTCAGGCATACCATCGTCTTCCAATTCATAAAGAGGATCAAGCATTGACTGCATTTATGCACAATGGCAAGCAGTACATGTTCAAAAAATGCACCTTTTGGACTGAAGCCATTGTCCAGTCTTTTTCAGAGGGGAATGTCAAGGATCCTCAGCGATCTTCCATTCGTCTGTAATTTCATTGATGACATTGCGATATTCTCAAAGAATTGAGAAGAATATGCTGAGCATATATAAGGTGTAATTGAACGGCTCAATGCAGCCAAATTGATAATCAACCGCGAGAAATGCAATTTCTTCAGCACACAAATCTAGCTGTTGGGCTTCATCATTGGACTGCGCGGCAAAAGTGTTGATCCAACCAAATTCGCAAACATTAATGAATGGGAGCCGCCAAGAACAGCGAAACAGATCCAGTCATATCTTGGCACGTTCAATTTCTTCCGAGAATATATCCCTTTGTTCAGTGACATTGCAGCACCGCTAGACGCGCTTCGTAGTCGAACCGAACCATTCGCTCTGAATCAGGCACAAATGCAATCATTCAATACTCTAAAAAATATGTTGACGAATGCACCAATTTTGTCATTCCCTGACTTTAGCAAACCATTCTATATTGCAACAGATGATTCGGACGTTGGTATAGGCGCTGTACTGTACCAATTGCCACACGGAAAAGAGCATCCAAAAGACATCAATTATGTCTCCCTCATGGCTCGTTCTTTGCAAGAAAGCGAACGTAAATACAGTGCCACAAAGAAGAAATTACATGCAATTGTGTTTGCTCTGAACAAATTCCATTACTATTTGTGGGGAAGACATTTCGATTTGTACACGGACCACCATGCCTTAATGTTCCTGCATTCTCAACAGAATCTTAATTCCATGATGAAAGCATGGCAAGATATCATTTTGAGTTATTTATTTACTGTCCACTATCGACCGGGAATCCTTAATATTCTTCCTGACGTTTTTTCGCGTCTATTCCCGGTGAGGAAACAGTAATCGCTCCATGCAGAAGTGCAGAAAAGAGCTCTTGCGTACGTACACATCCTTTAAAATGAGGAAGCAGAAAGAGCGGTAGTACCCGAAAAAGAAAGGGACGAAACCATGTATAAAGCGCATGCCATGGGTCGCCTTGGTACAAATGCTATGGTGAATTCAATCCATCAGCAAGGGGAAACTTGGCCCCATCTGGCCAATGATTGTTTAAATTTCGTAAAGCGCTGCCGAGAATGCCAGAGGATGAATATTGCTCGTAAAGGGTATCATCCTATGAAGGCAATCCATGCACACTTACCTGGTGAACTCATTGCGATTGGAATTGTAGGCCCTTTTGAAGAGTCCGAAGACAAGAATGTCTATTTGTTGATTATAGTCGATGCGTACACTCGGTTTGTTCTGTTGGATGCCTTGCCTGATAAATCCTCGTACACTGTCGCAAAGACCTTGTTCAAACGCTTTACTGATATTGGCTTCCCTCGCGTGTTACAATCGAATAACGGAAAAAAGTTTGTCAACGAACTCACCCGCATCATGACCACACAGGTGTATATAGATCATCGTCTGGTAACACCATACCATCCAAGGGGAAATGGAGTTGCAATATGATTCGCAAAGGAGTTAAAGGAGATCATCGTCATTGGGATCGACATATTCCCTTTGTACAATTGTCTGCAAATACGCGAACGGTTAGTCTGCACAATTCATCACCATTCTCGTTATTCTTCGCCCGCAAAGCAAATAACTTCAATAACTACACCATCAAAGAAGGCAGAATCATGAACGAAGAAGAACTGCTTGAACGTCTAAAATACATGACCGAGATCATGTTTCCCGCCATTAGAAAGAAATTTAAGGCGAAACAGCAAAAAATGATCGAATTCCCAGAATTCCCAGATGGAGCAAAAGTAATGGCTCTTGATCCGATTAAAGGAGGCAAGCTCACTCCACGGTATGAAGGACCATATACAGTGGCATGACGCACTTCACATGGCTCATATATTCTTAAAGATGGCATAGGAGCTTTGTTAGGACGTCACTATGCCCCATCTCAGCTCAAGCTTGTGCTGGACGACTTTGAAGATACTGATACCTATGAAGTGGAAAAAATCGTTGACCACAGGGCTAGTACAATTACACCCAACACAAATGAATATCTGGTCAAATGGAAGGGCTATTCCTCTGATGAAAATACATGGGAACCTGAAGGTCATTTTATTGAACGACGATGTATCAGCGATTATTGGGCTGAGCATCATGCCGCGCAATAGAAGTCGAATAAGCGAGCATACGATGACACAGCAACAGACACCCCTGTCTGGCCATTCACGCGGCGCAAACGATCTCGAAGTACACGTTCATAACCAATATCTTACTGCATAAGAGACAACTATTGCCCCTTTCACCAGAAAATAAAATTTCAATTTTAAAAATCCTAATAACGTGACGAACGCCTCGGATAAAATAATTTGCGTGCAAAACGCGTGTAACGAAAAATTATATCAAAGTAAAAAGGTCTCCGTCTTCTTTCATTGCGATCAACATCCGGTTCCCGAACCGGCATGAACAACACCTGACACGCTGGTCTCATCATCTCACCGGAGCACAAAGAGAAACAGGCGTTGGTGCCATCATTATGTTATCGTAAGAGAGGGAAAACCATTGATAATTAAATATCCTGAGATCTGTGATACTCTTGAAAACAATTTCGCTCTTTGACGATACACAAAGGAAGGGCACAATGGGTGCAGCTCCAATGTGTAATCTTGTGATGAAAGCTTGTGAGGCCAGGCCCATGTATGCTTGACTTGTAGCGGCAGAGTACACACTCGGAACGGCTATCTGAATATTCAGGAAAGTGGTTCCCAATAACGAAACGTTCTTCAGAGAGCGTGGGTTTCAATTTAGAAATGTAGGGGTTATTGACCTTGTGCGACACAAGTGGTTGGCCATGGCAGCTCCTTGGTAAAGCTTGCTCCTCTCGAATGCCATTCATCATCAGAGACCATGCCAGCTGAGCTCGAAAATCGCGATGAGAAAGAGACCCATTGTTCCGTTTGTAAATGTCAGAAGAAAAGAGGCATTCAATTTCGGACAACTGACAGTTGTGTGTGGTAGTACATATGATATTGATCACTGACATCCACGCCACTCATGCAATGGTTATAATCATCGATAACCTTGGGGATCTTGAGGTCAGCTCGGGGATGTCCTTGAAAAACTGCACGGGCAGTTCTACCATTTGTACTCGTTCCTCGAGGGCGGCGTCTATTGCGCATGACGAATGAGGTATCACCCACGATCTCATGGAGTGTAGACAGCATTGTAACCGGCCCATTATCCATCCAAAGTATGGCAATGACCTTATCATCAATCACAACACCAAACAAAGTATTCCAGTCAAGCTTATCGCCTTGTTAATCCTGAGTTCTTTTGGGAATCGCGACGACGAACCCCATACTGTGCCGCATGCTCCAATATTGAGGTCCCGAAGAGCAATGAAAAGAGGAATGTTGGAGAAATAGTTGTCCATGAAGACGTTGTAGGACAAATTTCGATAAGGAAGTGTTTTGACAAGTTGGCAGACCACAGACAAGGTTTTGCTCAAGCCAGGGACTTCCTTGATATCGTTGAAAGAATGAACCCTCGAGGTGTACAGAAATGAGTAGGTGTATCCAGAGTCGCAAAGTGAAAAGATCTTGTATTCTTGAGGCGTTGGCTTGTTCTTTATCCGAATAGTATGCACACTTCGACCTGAGAACCGAACCATCATCTCATCAACAGAGACATTTGTCGAAGGGGTGTAGAATTTGTGGAACAATTCCTGAAGCTTGGTAGAAAGTGGCTCCAGCTTGAAATACCAAGGTTCAGGATGAGCATACGGGTTGGAAACATGAAAGAATCGCTTGAGTTGTTGAAATCGAATGAGTGACATGAAGCGTTTGAATGGATGTGATGGATATTGTGATGACAGAGACCAATAATCCGCAACACGAGGCTGATGAAAAATGCCCATGTAGATGAGGATACCCAAGAAAAGATTAAGTTCCTTTGAGGAAGTGCACGTCCATGCATGAGCTCCGACTTTCATTCAGGCTTCCTTCTTTGTAGCATATGCGTTTGTGTTCCATGCTAGTTCAGCCAAGATATCATCCGTAAAAAAAGTGAAAATATGTGGATAGGCTCAAGGGATCCGTCCAGACGCATAGGCGCAGGGAGGTTGATATAGCCATGGTGAGGATGATGATGTGGATGAGTAAAAGCATAAGAGGACGGGGGGGAAGATTGGCGCCTGCGTTAATTATTACAATTGGTGTTGCTGCTGACACTGTCGGCAGTATCCATGCTAGCGACTTTTGAATGGTTACGTGGGTAATAAAAAAAAATAAAAAAAAAAGCATTGGGCACATTGCTTACCAGGTTCGTTCTCCAGATCATTAAACTGATCCCCAGCATTGAGGAGTGGACGGGAGCGAACAATTGTCGCCAAATGCCCCTCCTCTATATCTGAGTCGGCTTCACTGGCTCCTTCAGCAAGAGGAGGTGTGTTTTTGGTGGTGGCAGGCACAGTTTGGATGGTGGTAGGAGCGGTCTGGATGGTCAAAGGCATCACTGGCCCAAGGGGTGAGGTGCCATGAATGATTACAGGTGCAACTTGAACAGCGATGGGCATAACTGGAGCATGAGATGAAGTCTGACTGGATCCAGGTACAGAAGCGTTAAACCCCTGGGTAGCTAGGTTAGGCAGAGCCCCAGGTTGACCAGGCATAGGCACGGGTTGGTCAAAGAGTGGAGCAAGCTGTTGCATGAGGTTTACAGCTTGTATTACGAAGGCAGGAATCATAATGAAACAGTTTCATGGGAGCTGGCCCCCGTACGTGAAATTTACATCTGAATCAGATTCAGATAAGCAATTAGGGGGGGTAAGCTAGCCCATTTTAGAGAATTTCTCATTTATGTAGTTTTTTTAAATAATTCCTCACTCCAGAGTGAGGAAAACAAACGAAGGGATAAAAAGAGGATCAGAGCCAGCGGTCTTTTGTTCGTTGTTCCAACTGTAAAAGAACTATCTCCAAGCGCAACAGAGACCAAGCGCCACGTGCGAGGGTGAGACATCCTCCCCCCTCCTCCTCTCTCTCTCTCCTCCTTTCCTCTCCTCTCCTCGCGGCTCTTTCTATTCCCCCCTCCTTCTCTTGCGTCGACCCCTCTTTCTCGCGTCGATCCTTCTCTCTTCTCTTTTCCCCCTCTCGCCGTTAACTGACCCTCTGCTCTGTGGGCCATAAAAGGATCTACAGTGTATATGTAGCGTGTTGATCGATCCTGCGGCTGTGCTGTAAACCAAGTCTGTCTCACTGCCTCTTCTGTCCCTGTAGTCTGCCCCGCACACCCTCCTTCGCTTCTTACTCTACCCCGCACTCTCTCTCCTGTCCTCTTTTCCCATTCACCTGCCATCCCTGATTGAATAATGAGCGAACGCATTGTGCTCATTCCTGAACTGGCCGAGCTCATCGCAATCGACCTCACGCCTCCTGACCTCGCAGCCTGTGTCCGTGTCGACCGAACCTGGTTCAGTACCTTCATTCCTCAGCTCTATCGACACATCTGTGTCTTCGACTTTGACTTCCACAGCCACGAGAACCAAACCAACCGAAAATCCCGTTTCGAAAAATGGCTTCAGTTTTGGTTCCCAAAGAAACTCGGCGGAAGCCAGGTCTACAAGTACGCACACCACATCAGGACTATCTCCACCGCCAATGTCCATTCCCTCCAGTACCTGGGCGATACCTGCACCAACCTGACGCATGCGACCGTCGAGGAGTTCCTCTCAAAGAGGACTGAATGTCGGGCATGTCCATTCTTTGATAGAGAGATCCGTTACTGGGAAGACTACTTCCGCAAGACGACCCTTCTTTGGACCGTCGACATCTGGGAGGCTCTCATCCAGAGAAACCCTCGTCTGGTCTATGTCAGTATGGATCTATACCAGATCAAGGATGGTCTTCACAGGATTGCCGAGGCCTTGGGCAACCTCGATCATCTACGAGAGACCTTTCTACGCTGGCCCCAAGCAAAAAATGCTATCCAGCTCTTCCTTGACCAGTGCCCCTCTATCCATACATTTACCATTTGCATTGAGCCGCACACGCGCATAATCGCACGAACGACAGCAGAGGACGGACAGCCAACAGGGATCAAACACCTTCGATTTCCCATGCCATCTTACCCCCACCATACCGTAATAGCCTATATGATCAAGCGGTGCCCTGCACTGGAACGACTCTCATTGCCATATCTCTCCATCCCGCTGTTTTCTGAAGTAGCAGCAGCAATCGAGGCCTCCCCTTGTCGCACAACGCTCAAGCGAATCGATTTCAGCGGGGATATGGGGACATCTACCTTTGTACTGGAACCGTTCGAGAGATTACTGGCTGCCAGCGAACAGTTATCTTCAATCTCCTTCGCCGACAGCCGGGGAGACTTTTTCGCGAGCAAGTTCCTGTGCTACATAGGGCTCAGAGATCGACTCACGGAACTTTCATTCACCTCAATTGACCTTTACAAGCGCTGCTCACCTACCCTCGTCTTTAGCGCACTAGAGCTTTGTCCGAATCTGCGCGTCTTTGAGATGCAGAAAGCCTCTATCGACGTCGGCCAGTTCCTAGGCTTGACGTGGGCGTGTCGCGGCTCGCTCAAGAAACTGAGGATCACCCTCAGCTGTACGGAGACGCAAGCACGGCTGTACAAGTCTGATTTGGAGCTCAGGACTGCAAAGCAAAGTGCCGTTTTCGATTCCCTAGCAAACCTTCAACAGCTCGAGGCGTTAGTGCTCGACAGGCTTACTTGGGTGGGGTCTTCTCCGGAGCAGTGGATCCTGAGATCCTTTCGAATACACCTTGCAGGAAGTACATGGCTGCAGTTGACGAGACTTGAGAAATTGAAGATGCTGCGAATATGGGGCATTCGCTACAGCATTGCAGCTCGCTGTCGATATGTATAAGCATCATGGCACAAATCGGTAAGGCTGGACCACATACTCCACGCCGTCGCGTGCATGGCGGAATCGTTAAGTTACGAAGGATGCCATCAGCAGATGCCTGGATAGGTACTATACAAATGCAGCTCCCTCTCTCTCGTTCTCTCGCTTGTGTTCGTGCTCATGAGCCACAATCTGAGTAGTGAAGAAGATAGTTAGGCCTATGCGCCGTAATAGCAACTTCTACCGTACATTAAATTAGTTCAACTGTCCAAACTTCCAAAAGTCATGCGCGCTCCCTCGAACTTCTCCACAAGAAGGATGAACATCAAGCGGATCCATTCTTTGGCGACGGGATCTGTTGATCTATTACTGGAGAAACCACTAGCGCAGGACGGCTCTCACTCGGACAATGCACAGTTGGGAGACACTGATCAAGAGGAACCCGCGTCTACTCGACTTCTACTTGGACCTCTACTAGGCCACTGATAATCCTATCAAGGTTACAGGGATCCTCTTGCCGTGCAAGACTTAAACAAATCAATATTGCTGGCGATATTCAGTCCTATTCCGCGGTTCAGCCGCTCAGGACGTTATCGACAGCCAGCCAACGGGTTCCTTCGATTTCTTCACAGATATCCGCGCAGTGAGATTTTTTTCGCCAGTAAAATATTTGGACAATATAGGACACGACCCATGCCCTCCTTGTCGCCGTACTCGAATCTGTCCGAGCTTACGCGCGTTTAAGACGAGTAAGACTCTTATCAATACCGACGCTTTCCTGAACCAGGAGTGGGTATGTTGCGACTCGCTCATGGAACTGAGAACCACCATTAGCTGTACGGAGATGCAAGCACAGTCCTATAAGACGAACGAACTCGGTATTTTGAGCGACCAAACATGGCGACGTGTTTTATTCTCTAACGAACCTATCGCAGCTCAAGTTGTTGCTGCTGGATAGATCTACTTCCTAACGACGGATCTGGCTCCTGAGCAAAGGAGGCTGAAGAGCTTTCGAATTTACCCTACGGAAGAGACATGGGAACAGTTGAAGAGATTATACAGCCATGCCGCGCATTCTCCACCATAGTTCGTGTACTGACTTTATCTGTGAAATAAAATAATATCAATGTCCAATGCAGCTACAATGGCTGTCAACGACAGTGTTACGAACAGTTATGCTGTAATCCCAATGGCGCGATTATCATGTACATACTAATTTTTTTTGTCCCCATCGTCAATGCGACCATTGCCAATCTGATCGATATGAATAAAAAAGCAAGCAAGGGGGTGGAGGTTTAATTGTGAATATTATCATGATTAATGATGACGGTTCCCCATAGATAGAACACCCTCCTGGACAGCGCCATGTCCTTTCTCTTCTTTCCTGACTTTCAATTGTCCGCCCACACGTTCTCGCCAAGATGGTACATCATCGTATTTTTGATGTGTCAGAACTGGTGTCCCACATCGCCGAGTTCCTCGCTCCTCATGATCTTACTGTCTGTCTCCGTGTCAATCGCCTCTGGTTCGAATGGTTCATCGAGCCGCTTTACCGGAGTATTCACATTTTTGACTTTGATTACTTCTCCAAAGACCTCGGTTACGGCCTCGCCTCTCGAACCCATGGAGCCAGACATTTCGAGCTTGAAGATATTCCTTATTGTGACCAATCTGAAGTCGGTTATGGTGGGAGTCGAGTATATAAGTACTCATACCTGACAAAAGCCATAGCTGCAGCCAACGTGCACTCCTTCCAGTACCTAGGCGACGGATGCAGCAATCTAACTCACGCTCTGGTGATCGAGAATCCGCAAGACTTCTGCTCAGATGGCTATAGTGCATGTCCTCAGTTCCAATTCGAACTAGAGACATGGTGCGAATACTTTGGTGCCGTGACCGCACCGCGCACTGTCGAGATATGGGTGGACTTGATAACAAGGAACCCATCATTGACCTGTGTGCGCATCGACCTGTCGAGTGTTCAAGAAGGTATCGAAAAGATCGCCGAGGCGCTGGGCGGCCTTGGTCAACTGAAGGAGGTTTGCGTCTCCAGGGCGGTACAGAGGGATGCTGCGCAGGTTCTATTGGATCATTGCTCCGATATCGATACCTTGGTCTGGCTATCACGTAGGACTTGTCGGCAGCATGTGGATATCATTCATCAACCCACTCAGATCATCCATTTAAAGTTCGAGGGTTCCTATGTCGACAAGTGGTTGGTGGTCTACATGATCAAGCGGTGCCCCAGACTTAGACGACTTACACTCCCGCCTTATACCGCCCAGAGCCTGCTCTTGACCATCGCCACTGCCATCAGGGACTCGGACTGCAGCTCAACCCTTCAGCTTCTGGAATTCGACGGACTCCCAGCCCCAGGGAAAGATCAAGATAGTATAGTACTGGAGCAGGTCCTCACAGCAAGCGATCAACTCCTAGAGGTTTCTTTGAAGCGAGCTCAGAGAGACTTCGCTGCCGTATTCTACCTGAGAAGCTTCGGACTACGCGCTCGACTCGAGGTATTCTCGTACCACACCCGCTTCCTCGAAGTTGAACTGGACCTGACCTTGGCCGTCCTTGAGATCTGTCCAAATTTACGCGTGTTTGAGCTTGAGAACGCATCCGTGAATGTGGACCGGTTCCTTCGTATCCAGTGGGGATGTCGCGCAACGATAACAAGGCTGAGGATCAGTATTAGCTGCAATGAGATCCAAGCTGCGTCATTCTACCAGGAAGTGGAGCTCGAGGATCCGTCTAACGTTGTTGTCGCTGACAGACGCATGTTCTTGCAGGAGAGAATCCTTGAGAAGCTAACGCAGCTGAGCGTGTTGGAGGAGTTGCAGTTGAGGCCGACGCGCCTAAACTTCAGCGTGCTTTCGTTCCCGATTAAGGTGGACGGAGGTACCATGCTACAGATGCAGAGATTGAAACGTCTACGGGTGCTAAGCATCCTGGGCATTTGTCATATTTATTGATCTACGGCTATGGTTTCATTCCCAGGGATCGAAAGAGGTCTTCATGGGCTTCATTATTATCCCCGCTCATACTTCATATTCATTTGATGATCAACAACACTCGTTCTCAAAGCACTTTCGATTTGTATTTATTAAAAACAGTTTGCCCCCAAACCATTTTTTTCCAGGGGCGCCACCAAATTTAACAGCTGCGGATTCCCCATGGCGACTGTTCAATGCCTATTGTTTTTCCAGGCCAGCCTTGAATTTGATGGACTTCAACCGCCCTTTATGCTGCTTCCCGAACGTTCTTATTTCCAAAGAAGGCGCGTGAATTACCCAACTATTCTCCAAAGCTCCGAACTTTCCCTTGTTCCGAGCTTCTGCCGCTGTTCTCGACTGAGGATAAAGCTATGGATACTCTGCAATGTGCCAGGGCTAACGCTGGCCGTTAACACACGAACGCAGCTATGACGCTGTTTGCAGATGCCGACGGTTTCATGGACGATGTTCAACACTGTATTCTTTTGACCAACACCATGACATGACCTGTATCTGTGCTTTGATAAATTACTTCAAGCTGTCCAAGCCTTGGTCGCTCTCCCGGTTATGCTTGGGATAGTTACAGTTCGATGGGTGTCAGAATTCAAGAGTATTGCTGGCCAGATGCATAGGCGCCCTGACTCTAATTTCCAACGGACTATGGAATGGTCGAGGACGAATGCCATTGTTTGGAAGTCTAATTAAATCCATAGCGAGCTCGAACAGTCGCCATGCAAATAGTAAAAAGCATGCTATGATCAAAATGAGCGATTGTATGCTAATTATATGCAACTGTACTTGTTTTTTTATATCTCAATGGCCGCTATTTCCGAAGAGTACGCACATATTTTGGACACTCATTGGGGCTCCTTGCATGAAGGCTGGCCAGCTGTGGACAAGGCCAAATTTCATCGTACTGAGATGAAGAACGTTTCAGACATAGAAACTGTGAAGTCCGCTCTCTTGGACCGCCTTGGCTACATACCTGGTTTCTTCTTCCTTACTCAGATCTTTGGGACTCATGACTATGGCAGCCCATACAGGAACGTCGAAAAAGGCCTACTTTTGTTATATGCCCTGGTAACTGGTGACTCGTTGTCAAATATGGCGCGCTTTGTGCCCAAGACATCTTTTTATGACCTGCGCAAGGAGTTCTACCTACAAGATCATCAGAAACTGCATCATACAATCACCTCTAAGCTGTACACCATGTGCTCAACTCTGAAGTTGCGCTTGCTTCTTGCGAAGAATAATCCAGATCCATTCAAGCACGTTACATTGAATCTGGATGGCCATGATTCTCGTGTCAGCTATATAAATGCGAATAAACCTAGACTTTATTCTTACAAGCTCAAGAAGTCTAAGAAGTCTGGATTTCGTGTGCAGGTGTGCGCAGACATGAATAACATCGTGCTGTTTGTATCCAAGCCTGCACCATGTAAGGATAACAACGATGGCACCATGCTAGTCAAGATGAAGATTCCATCCCTCATCCACAAACTTGACTGCATTGCTCTGGACGGTGGATACAACGGGTTTTGGGCCAAATTGTGGGTGCATCAGAAGAGCTAAGTCATGGGAATTCCTCTTACCCTGTGCGTAAGACCAGGGGAATTGCTTTGACAGATATAGAGGCAGACCCAGTATAACAAGGCTTTTGGTGGATTTCGATCCAAAATCGAAAGCTGCTTTGCAGATCTCCAGTCTAAGTTTGCTAAGTTCACGCACAATGCACCTGTCCGGTTTGCTGATGAGAAGCCATTCGAACTCCAGTTCAAGCTGTGTTGTCTACTCACGAATATAAAGAAGCTGGTAGCAAGTCAGAACATTGCCATTCAGCCACATCATGGATTCTGGATGCAGGATGGATTTGACTTCCTTGAGAGCATCGAGTACCAGGAGTCCTATGAGAAGCAACCCAATATCAAGGCCAAGTTAGGCTATGGCCATGATCTGCTGGAGCTTCAGGAAGCGTTTATGTCCACTACCGTATCTCGATCTAGCACTGCAGAACCTGAAGATTCTGCTACGACTGATATGTCACAGGAAGACTCGGGAGAGACTAAGATTCTGGAGGCACCGAGGAGATGATGGAGACGCCCATTATCTTGTGAAGCAGAAGGAATATGAAGGGTTCGGTCTTACATGGGGGCCAAAGCACGCGATTAATAGGCGCTACATTGATGGATATTGCAAGTCCAAGACCACCTTCTAGCTCAGGCACTTTTTACCGCACATGAATGTTTTAGGACGATATTTGATTGCCCAGCTATCTACCTCTGTTCCTGATGGCTTACGTAAGCTGTACACGGATCATGGAGCCAGGACAGCGAGTATCTTTAGGAAGACAAACATTGTCCTAGCTCCCGGCTAACCTAGGTTTTACCCGGAGGTGCAATGTGGGTGACTGTATGGAGTGAACAAGAAACGGTGTTGTTTTTAAAAAAACAAGCCCAGTCTCAAGGACAGAGCGGACTCCGGGGAGTGTCGTTGGGTGCTTGACCTTTTGACCTTTTGACCTTTTGATTTTTTTAACGGCGATTTTTTTCTCTGCCGGTGAGCGCTGAGCGCGCGCTCGATCACCTTTCTTATTTTCGACCAATCAAATACCGCCGATCGAATTTCCTCACCACGACAGCACTCATTGCACTCGACTATGGTTCGCGACACCTTGCAAGTCTAGAGGGGCCGACCCGATGTGATTCCCACATTTGAGAAATGCCTTAGTTCATATATTGTCCTGCGCTTATTGACTGCCATGATCTTCATGCTCAAAACATCATACAGGACAGTGTTCAGGAAGCCAAGCTGGTTCTTAAATGTCCAGTTATTGTGTCTTGGCTTCTCCTTGCCTAGTGTCGTGCACATGTTCCCCATCTCACCCACGATGTCGCCCCAAATCGTATCGATGCTGTCTCGAAGCTCCTGAGCAGGTACCTTATTGTGGGCAAATGTATCCGCAAATCCACAAGGCATCATGATGTCCACTGCATATCTCAACTTGACATATCGGGACTCTGCGAGCTTGTGAAGTGCTTGGCTTGGAATTCCTTCGTCTATGCTGCTGTAGTACATTTGGGAGAGCCGTTCCCGCCGCTGGACTGCGCCGAGCATATCCTGTATTGTGTCTCCTCTAGCTACAGACAGGGCACGCAGGTCCTTGTACACCCTTTTCTCCCACTCGTTGTCATATGTCTCGACCCACTGAGGCGTGGCAATCTCAGGTACAGTTATGTCGTAGGCGTTCATCAGGAGGTATTTGGACACTGCATGCTTGTCTGCTGGTGTCGACTCCGATCCCTGTGCAGCTTCAAGAAGTCATCTTCCGTCAGATACTTTGCATCAGCAACCTGCTGAGTCTGTTCATCTTTGATCATCTCCAACTTTTCCTTTTGAGACTCGAGAATGGGATTGTCTTTGGCAGCTCCGCCTTCAGCTTCATGGACAGTACATCCTGCGTCCACCATCTGCTGTACGAATCGCTGTAGGAAGCCATTCATCGACAGGTGTTTCTTGATCCTCACGTAGGTGAACAGTCGGCTATAGAAGTCATTGGACAGCGTGGGGTCTTTTTTTCCATACTCGGCGTGCAATCTAAGCTCTGACCTTCCACGCACGTTGCCTTTCACGATGTTGCTCTGGTTGCAAATCCAATCGTTGATGGCTTGGACAGTGGTTGGTTGGTTGTTATTGGCTCTATGGTCTTTCAACTCACCATCGCTTCCATGACAAATAGTGGAATAGGCAGATCTTACAAATACCGCACGAAGAAAGACCATACTGAGCCAGTACCGCAATTGTCAGAGCGTTATGCATCCCACGAAACAAGCGCGTCTGGTGGATCTCGAAATGACTTCCGGAAATGATTCGACCGTGATGGAGATGGGCTGGAAGGATGCCAGAAAGTTCGAATATATCGAGCATGGCGGTATTCACGTTCGCGCGGATATCAATTCATGGTTGGCTAGCGTCAAAGAAGGTCTGAAGGAGATGGGGAGAGCCGAACCATTGCCTAATGTATACAACGATAAGAGCATTGCCAAGGCCTTCTATGATGCTCTAGCCGGACTCAGAACCAAAACCATAGACGGCTTTGACCGCATTGTGGAGCGATACGCGATTACTATGAAACAAAAGCCTGTGGAGCAAGAGCCTGAGAGGGGATGAGTATATCTTGATGATCTCATGTATGACTGGATTGACTGGTCGCATGTAACTTAGAAAAACGTTCGTTAATGGTTCGAAAATGTCGCAGATTTATCCGAGGATGCCTGGAGCGAGTATCGGGAAGTACTCTCAAAGGGAGAGGAAGAATACCTCAGCCTATATGAGCGATGGGGTGTCATCCCTAGTGCCGATTTCGGTGGTTTATTCAAAGACTCGAAGGTCGAAATAGACTCCCGCCTAGAGGTGTCTCGCTTTTCTTCGGGGCAGAGGGGCAATGGAAGGCCTTTGTTTCCGAGAATGATGTACCGCCTCACGCGAAGATTCCGAAACGATAGTGATGTGATCCGATTCAAGAACGACTCGAATACCTCGATCATCACCACCAGCACGCAAGATGTTGTGACAGCCTTGCGAAGTGGAGGGGCCGGGATAAACGCAGGGCCGAATGGAGTCGAGATGAGAGTCGATGTCGTGCAGCAATTGGTGCAAACAAATGTGGTGAATACCATGCTTAGACTGGCGCCTAGCTAGTTGCAGGACGTAATAGTCGCGCCAAAGTATGTGATGGTGTCTGTATTCGCTTGCCGCGGCGAGGTAATGACATTGCTGTATTACAATGTGGTGCTGAAGAAAGGGCATATCCATACTGTGGAGCAGAGAGACGTCGGCAACCCGGTTGGTGATGGAGAGCTTGGACAGATGTCGAGGCTACTGGCAGCGGCACGCCAGTCATGACAACATTTCCACCACTACTAGCTTTAGATACGAAGTCACCTTCGCGGTACTTCCTGCAACAGCAGCAGAGTCAAGGGGTCAAGGGTAGTGGTCAAGTAGGGATGCGTAGAAATGAATGCTGTTTAATAATCATTGCTGCATATTCAGCCAAGTCCAGTGTACTTTATTACTATATAAATCCATCGCCTCTGGAACTTAATTTTGAGTTGATTAATAAATGTCGTGTAGATGTGCATTTGGAGCCACATCTCTTTCTCACTTACTTCAAGAACCGCAATATATTTCAATAATAAGCGGGGTCTATATGTACATGTTTGTGGCCTATTTTACAGTGTTGTAACAGTGTTGTCATGGTGCCGGGCTCCATCCTGGTTCTATTTAGCGTGATAGTGAAGTATCTGTCCAATATAGCACAAGGCATACTTCTGGAGCGTGATTTTGAAAGTAGAGTGGGCTGTACGACCTCCTGTCAAGACCTGGGCAGCAAGTCCAGATGATGCAACTACGACCACGTCCTTCTCACGCCTTCCTCAGATGTGGGTAATCAAAGTGTTGTACAAAAAAGACTTGCCAGTTCCTCCTGGTCCATCAATAAAGACCACCTTTGCCGCACCTTCGTCCATGTTATCCAGCGCTGCTGTAATTGCAGCGTACAACGCTTTTTGATCATCGTTACAGAGGTCCAAGTCATGAGCTGTCTTAGCCGCAAATGCCTCAGTGCCGAGCTCTGCTTGTTATCCAAGTTCGTCATTGTTGGGTTGACGATCGATGAGGCTTCGAAAGTCTCAAGGCATCTCTTCAGAGACGGCCAGACTGGCTTCAGCTCCCTTTAAAATCTCATTGACGCGGAACAGTGCAGTACCCTTGACATCCTCTTCAGCATTCGGGCGATCTCCGGCAACGTACAGAAAGTCCTAAGATAGATCATCAGCGAACGCTTCCATAATTCGGGAGGATTAGATGGGCTGCATAGGTGTAGAACCACGGCGAGAAGATGGCATAAGGTCGCGGGACTTCAACGCCTGTTGTCAGATCCTCAGTGAAAGGCCGCCGTGCAAGGGGTAACGCATCTAAATCCATTGCGCTATTCCGGCGATTGTAAGCGGTAATTATGTCAGCGCGCCTGGTGAGAGGTATAAACTCATCCCATAAGAAAAATAAAAAAGGAGCTTGTCTTTCAGGCGTGTTACTGGGATTCTTAGGGCAGTCCTTGGAGGTGATCCTGGAGTGGCCAGTTTGGCCGTATCTGCATGTCTGAGACGCTTGGAGAGGCCCTGCAGTAAGGGCAGGTGCCAGGTCCGCATGCTCTGGCTTGTCCGGATGGTGATTAGCACGCTCATGCCGCTGCTGATTTTTGCGGGCGCACTGGACGGCATAGGCGGAATTTAGCCCAGCATGCCTGGTGAGAAGTACATCAGCGATTAGTTCAGACAGTTCCGCAAGTCCACCTCATAAGAAATAAAAAAAACCTGCCTTTCGGGCGTGCCACTGGGATTTTCGGGGCAGTCCTGAAAGGTAATTCTGGAACGACCAGGTAAACAATATTTACATGCTCGAGATGATCGGACAAGCCCCGCAGTAGGACTATAGATTCGATAAATTCGTGTCGAGTAAGCATGGGACCAATATCGATGTAAAAAGTGGCAATGGCACACCTCACATACGCTTGGTTCCACGTTATATCCATGTTTCCAGTAGCCGGTGTAAGAGGGACGCAGTGATTGAGGAGGAGCAAAAGGAATGGCTTTGAGTGACAAGGGTGTTTGATAGTGGTGAATGTGGGAGGAAATTTATTTTTTGGGCGAAGCAAAAGTTGCGTTGGCATGCCATCGATATGTTTATCAAAGAAATAGTGATAGAAATAGCACTGCAAATTGACATGTTTATTTGTTAGATTTGTTAGATGTGTAAAATAGTCTTCATTAAAGTCATCGAACCACCTCCGATATCATCCATGGTTTGCCATCACAGTCCTCAAAGACATCTACGGGCATCTCTTCAAGGCTGTCCAAGTCATCGATGGGATCCTCATGAAATCCTTTACTGGCTGCCTCGCTTCGGGCTTGGGGTCCCATGCAGTAGCGAAATCATCCGTGAATACGCTTTCGTCGATGTTATCCAGGCCATCGAACTCGTCCGCAGAGATGCTCATGACGTCCTCTACTGGCTACCCTACAATTGTGCATTTTTATTATATAGTTGTGTGCTGGCGGCTTTTGCGCTTTGGGCATGGACGCTGTGTTGGTCGCATTGTCCACGTAAAATGACCGTCCTATAACATCCTGGAAACAATTGGTCCTTATCTAGAATGATACCCGGCTCTGGTCCTTATTTCTGAAGCCCAGTGCGGTCATTGCAATCTGGGCGTTTGAATATGGAGGAAGGACATGAGAGATAAACAATACAGGAACGGAAAGGAAGAGAGGGGAGAGTATGCTTAGTGCGGCAGTAGATCAGAGCATGGTCTTGTTATCTCGAATCCGAAGGGGAGTCTTTCTTATAGAATGGCGCTAAAATCATACAGATGGTGCCCCCGGACTACTCCCATGCGCTATTTTCCAAGTAAAGAAAGCAGAGGAGAACACGCATGCAGTTGGAGAGACCGTATAGTAGTGGTGTACACTGCGGGCAGTGTCGGGCATAGTAGCAAACCGGCGCAATGACTACCCCAGGCAGTAATGTGCCGGTCTTCACGTGATGTTGTCTGTAAATGCCGGCGCCTCAATTCAAAAAGATAAGCGAATTGTTGTCGGCGCTCGAAAAATGAAACGTCGCTACTTACTTGGCTGGGATTCTGACGGCGATGAACAAGGTCAGTCGAATGAAGAAGAAGAAAAAAGTGATCGGGGTCCGTCATGGCCCATGCTCATTCGGAATTCACGGTGCATTCCTCTACATAGCCTATAAAGACCTCAGTGTCCCCTCATTCTTCAGCTCAGACCACTTGAACACAGCTCCATCAAATCTCTTTATTTTGTACCACTATCCCTCGCTGCAAGAGGCACAGCTTTTCCGTACCACAAACCAATCCACACATGCAAAAGAATAAGACGACGATGTCACTCCAGTCAAGACTCGCATTCATCGGCGGCGGCAACATGGCCGAGGCTATCCTTGGCGGCCTCCTCGCCTGCGGCTATCCACTCTCTCAATGCGTCGTTTCCGAACCCCTCCCAGCCCGGTGTGAATTCCTCCGCTCCAAATACCCCGGCCTCCAAGTTCTCTCGGGCCCACAAGCAAACCAGCTCGCCGTCAATGGCTCTCTCTCTCCCTCCAAAACCGCCGCCTTGATCACTGAAGGTTCTGTACATGTCAATCCCACCGCTGCCTCTACACACTTTACTCCCGCCGAAGTCGTTATTCTCGCTGTCAAACCCCAGGTCCTCAAGAACGTCGTTATGGATCTGAGCCCCGTCCTGCAGACGCGCCAACCACTTGTTATCTCTATCGCTGCAGGCATCGAAACCGGCGCTATTGCGAGGTTCATGACTGAAGGCACTCGCTTCCAGCCCCGGGACATGCCTCCGGTGATCAGGGCTATGCCCAATACCCCCTCGCTCGTGAACGAGGGTGCAGCAGGATTGTACGCGACCTCAGACGCGACGCCTGCTCAGCGCCAGGTTGCTGAATCCCTGATGGCCGCGGTCTCGAAACAAGTTTCCTGGGTCGAGAGCGAGAGTTTGATCGACACAGTCACAGGAATCTCTGGATCCGGACCTGCGTATTTCTTCCTGATGATGGAAGCCATGGAGGACGCAGCCGTGAAATTGGGCATGGACCGTGAGACAGCAAAGGCATTGACGATCCAGACATGTTTGGGCGCAGCCAAGATGGCACAATCGAGCAGTGACGATTTGAAGACGCTGAGGGTCAAGGTCACGTCACCCCACGGGACGACGGACGCGGCGATCCGGACGTTTGAGAAGGAAGGGTTCAGGGAACTGGTGTTTCAGGGTGTGAAGGCTGCGGACATGAGGAGTAGGAGTCTGGCGAGGGAATTAGGCGGCAAGGATCCTATGAACAAGTTGTAGACGTCGACACCCAAAACAAACACACAAATCATTGTTTTGCATCCGCATTACCTCTTTCGTAATCTGTAATATATAAAAAAAAAAAAACTTGTATATCACCCGCTTCTCTGTGACATTCAGCGAGCTTTGCTCCATTAGACCGAACGTTTTCTTTGAGCTTTGGCTAATTGGATTGGATTGGATTGGATTGGATTGGATTAGATTGGATTAGATTGGTGTACTGTGCTATTCTCGGACGCATGGTTGGTTGCACAAGAGAGCAACGCTTGTCCATCTGGACTGGAATGCCTGTTTTCGGACCTTTGCGGCCATGCGCAACCATAGTCTAGACACGCGTTTGCTTGTTTATTACGTTGTTACAATTGAGGGACAGCTCACAACTGAAAGGGATTTACGTCCAAGCAAACGACTTTTTCGCTTTATTTTTAAAAAAAACGATAGATAGAGAGAAAGATCATTGCTATGGAGGACAGTGCAACCAGTACGCTGTTTCCCCCCCCCCAACTCCTTCCCCAATCCTTTTTTTTTTTTTTTTTATCTCACTCGCTATACAGCTTTCCGTTTAATAGCAAAGTGTTCGTCTATTAATTGCGAGTGTTGGCAGCGACCTCGCTCTGGATGGGACCGGTGCCGCGGGCGTGGGAGCGACCATCGCCAGGGAAGGACTTGCCCTGCTTCACGCCCTTGAAGTCGTACTCTTGCATCATCTTCGAGGGCAACTTTCCGTTCTTGACGCCCTGGATGGTCACATCAGCACAGCTACAAAGAGGGGGGGAGGGGGGGTTCATTAGATGACTTGCGCTCGCTGCTTCGGTATGGCGTTTTTTTTTTTTAACGCAAAGAGGACTTACTTGTGGTAGTACTGAGGAACAAGGTTTGCGGTCCAGGACCAAGAGAATAAGCACTTGCCTATAATGACGCATAAGCAGGCAGGCACCAAAAAAAAAAAAAAAAATACAAGCATAACCATTTGTGATTAGCACAACAATGTTACGCCTCTGATCGTTTTCCCTCAGCAATTGGAGGAGGGAGGCGTAGACTAGAGAGGTTCAAATCGACAGCTTACCAGGGCTGTTGCAGGAAGGAATGTTGTCGGGGATTCTAACTGGCCACTCGTAGTAAGCTAAACGGGGGAGAGAGAGAGGAGAATGGGCAGGATCGAACAAAAACGGTATGTCAGCTATCATCTTTTTCACATCGTTCGATATATTCATCCCCCCTTTCACATAGTACCAAGCAACGCTTCCTTTTTTTTTTTTTTTTTTTTTTTTTTTGAGGCGTCGAATCCACTCACCATCAGGGCAGGTCTTGGAGTAGGATCCGATGACATGGAAAGTCTTTCCACCATCGTACGACAGTGAGAACTCGCACAGTCCACCTCCGTGGCGGGCCTCGCTCATCTTGTTCTTTGGCAACGAATTCAAGTTCGTCATCTCTGGCGTCCAGAAACGGACAGGGACGACCTGACCAGCCTTAAGGTCTGTACAATAGAAACGATAAAATAAAAGCAACCAACAAACCGATTAGCGATTAGAAACGGTAAAAAAAAAAAAAAAAAAAGAAAGAACGACCATGCAAGCAAAAAAAAAAAAAAACAGAACTATAAAAACTAAAGAGAGCAGCGTACTGGTGTTGGGACCCCTGCCGTATCCGCCGCAAGGAAACTTGAGTCCCTCGTAACCAATAAAGGTGTGGATTTTTCCGTCAAACTCCTTGGTGCCGACTCCACCACGAGGAGTAGGGTAGAGCATCGCCATGTGGGCCTCAGACTGCTTTGACGTCAAGAGAGCGAGGACCAAGAGTCCCAGGCACATAAGCCAGGAGGCCTTCAGGGCGGATGAGAATGCAGCCATTGCTTGTTGTAGTTTGGTGTTGAAGTGCTGGAAGCGGAGATGGAGGAAGTGGCAGGAAAGGAGGTGAGGAGGTGAGGAGGCGAGGCGGGGAAGGCGGGAGGGATGTGAAAACGGGGAGGTAAGGTGAGTGCGAAGGTAGGGCTCGAGGAATGGGGTGTGAAAGTGACAAGGAGAAGAGAATCGTTGCCATGGGTGGATGGAGGGTCCCATTTATAACGAAATAACAACCTGGCGACACGAAACCCCAAGCAGAAAAGTCTGAGAGCAGGAGAGCGAGCGAGGTCAATGTAAACGAGACGCGCGGGTGGCCGAAGAAGGTAGGGCATATGTCCTACATTCCTACATTCATTTAACTTTAAGAAGGACTTTGGGACGACAAGCTGGTCCACCTGGACTGTAGATGAGCCAAAAGGAGAAACATGCAATCAAATAGACAACCTTCCTGGTCGCCGTATTGTATGTATCTTGCCCTACCTGCTTAATTGCCATGCTCACCTCTTCCTTGCTTCCACCAATTAAACACTTTGCATCGCGCCCATTGCTGTTGGATATGAAAATTGTCCAGCAGAACCCATTTTTACTTTTTGAGTTGGAACATTCCTCATATCCCAACGGCCGTAAGTGAGCCCGTCCGACAGTATTCAGTATTCGTTGCTGGTACCTTGTCATTTTTCGGACCTTGTCCACTCCGGATAAAGTGGACATGCTCCCCCATTGGTATTAGATGTGTCCTACTATTTGTTCGTTCGGGGTGAGCTGGGCAACGAATGTACCTGATATATCTGAAGATTCTGCTCTGCAGGTGAACGCGTCAAGGATGTGGGATAATATAATTCCTTTTCCTTGTAGCATCAAAACTAACAGTCAATTCCTTCCTTCTTCTTCCACACAAACGACCTATTTGGAAGATATTCGCTGGAGCTCAGTTGTCCTTTACTTCGTGGTGGCAATGATTCATGGTACTGCCTAATGCGACCTTAATTATAGGTGCATCAAGGACCATCGTTCGGAAACAGGATTATAAGTACAATGTGTCCTCAATAAGCTGTGGGTGACATTGGTAGCCTCGAATCACAAGTGAACGAATGAATGTTTTCCATGGCCCTCCCCAGCGCTAAGCTACAGTGCTGGACATTTAGTCGCGACCGCAGAATCGAAGTTTGACCTCTAGCTCAAAGGGGTTTGAGCTTCAACGTTTTCTACGTACAGTTGCGACTAGATGTCCCCCACTATAGCTGCAATTTCCATCCTAGATAGCCTGCCGAAGGACGCCGCCATGTTCGTGGTTACGTGCAAAAACATTTCTGAAGAAGCTGCAGGATTCGATTTAAACCGCGTTCTCTAATCTGGAAACCCTCTTTGTCGCTACCCTAACGCATAACCTCCGCCTTTCTAGGGAAAGTACATACTCGAGAGATGTGCTCGTAAGTCGGATACCTCGAGAGAATAAGAGCTACCAGCATAGCTTTTCAGATCTGTTGCAGTTGTCCCGAGCAAAAAATTGGTGCTTGTTGATAAAGACCATCAGAGACGGACGAATAGCTCTTCGCTCTAAAGTATATTTTAGTCAGCAGCAGAGGACTCGAGTCATTGCTGCTTCTTCTTCCTTTTTTCATGAGGGCAGATGCATCTCAGTCTTGGTTCCCTCTGGTTCCAAGGGGACTTTCGTGCGATGGTTGCATACTCATGACACTTTCAAACGTCTAATATCCCATGACGCCTTCGCGAAAGAACATTTTATCCAATCTGAATGAAAAGGACCTCCGTGCTTCATGTGTACCAGGGGGCTCCGAAGCCATCCTTTGGTCTTGGTCTTTAATCAAGCGGCAGATAGAGAAACATGACAACCTCTCCCCACGCGTTTACGTCATATCCGAACAAGGAAGCCAAACAGCCATTACTTTATTCTCACACTGCGGGTAGTCTATGTACGAAGGAGGATTCCTATCGAAATCGGCAGGTCGGTAGCACTTATGCAAATTTCCCAATCAGATTCCTGCTCCGCTGTCCCAGCTTGCTTCCTTTCATTGCGATAACCTGAGGTTATCTGAAAGACATGTTGGTCTGAGGAATTTTAGTTCTTGATGCCCGCAGAATGACGTACTGGATGTGCCCTCCCCCTAGTGTTAGTTCGTTCATGTCTCCATGATGCAGATGAGAGTAGGTCTTTAAGGGCCTAAAAGGTTGCCCTAATTCCGAATTCCCTATGCTACTGCGCTTCTGGATCACAAGGCCGAGATGGTTGGAATGGGAGCGCTAACGCTTGGAATCCAACCCCTAGAAGCATGTTGCTGGGTGAGTTTCTGGCGGGGCCCCATGTCCGAGATGGTTCGCGCAAAGATGGGAAGGAGGTTCCGCCGTTTTACTCTCCTGCCGAGAACCCCCTCCGGGCCCGACATTGTGTTTGTGCTGCGTTTTTCAAGACTGTGTGGTTATTGTCTTGTGTTTCGTGCAGCTAAAGTTGCGGTCTTTCATGAGCAGCGAGCAAACCCTGGTCGCGACCGAATGTCACCTTGAACGAACTTGTGCAGCGCAAGAAGAGGACCCCTCTCTCCTCCTCCCCCAACGGATTCTGCTCAGGGTCGACACGGACAACTTTAGTAACCTCTTCCTAGAAGAACACGTGCAGATACTGAATCTCCTCAAGCGCATTCATGAGAAAATGGATGAAGATGAGTACCAAGCAAAGAAAGTCCCGCATGGATCTGACCAGCGTCCCTCTTCAGTGACGGTCTGATAAAAAAAAACCCACTCGGAGTGGGGTTTTCATCCACCTTTAGGTGCTTGGAATAAATGTTTGCGAATCAAGAAACCTATTGGTCCGAGGGCAGCATAGTCTGTGCGACCGACAACAAAACAAATATCCATGTCCCTCCCTAGACTTTGTGACCGAAAACTGAGCCTTCAAGCTTTTTTTTTTTTCATCGACAATTCGACAATGGATCCTCGGGATCTTCTCTCTCGACAAAATACACCAACGGACACATTTTTTTTTTAAAATTCCTCAAAATTGAAAAACTGGTACAACCATTGACCAGTCTAAATCCTAGAGACTATTCTGGAATTATATCTGCCAAGGACTTTGGACTTTTTTGTCAAGGAGCTGGATATAGGAGGGGATATTTACCTTTTTATTATTATATAATTAATATTATACTTTGTATTTACATTATAGGGCACAAGTATTTGAAAACGGCGAACAGTCCAAAGGGGGTTGTTCACTCATAAAAAAAAAAAAAAAAAGCGACTTGACTTTGTACAAACAAAAAGAAAAAAGAACGACTCAAAAAGACTTTCTCCTTCTCTTCCTCTCCTTTTTTTCCTTTCTTTCTTTTCTTTCAGAATTCTCCCAGTTTTTTTTTTAACGAGGAAGGACGTTGCCGGTGGTGTTGGCGTTGTTGGCGGTGTTCGCACCATGGTGACCAAGACCGTGGTGGTGACCACCGGTGCCGGTACCGGCGCCGCCATGGGTGTTGTTCACGTATTGATCATCCGTGTACGCTCCGTTGTTGCCGGTGTTACCGTCCCTGTACGCGGCCTGGGCGCGTTCGTACTCGGCCTCGTTCGCGGCATCGATACCGGCAGAGTGGTGGTCATAGTCGACGAATCGGAAGAGGACGTGAAGGGCCGCGGCGAGGACTGCTCCAGCCAAGGGTCTGTGTATTTAAAAAAAAAAAAGTACAAGTGAAAGAAAAGGAGAGAAAGGCGTTTGTTAGACACGTTGAGTTGTCGAGTTGCTTTTAAAAAAATCTGTTCAAAAGTGGAAAAAGACATACCCGAACCAGTAGATCCAGTGCTCTCTGGTGAAGTAACGTGCAACGACCGAGGTACCGAAGGCACGGGCGGGGTTTATGGCGGCGTTGGTGTAGCGGGTCGCGAAGAGATGGCAAGAGAACAGGGTAAGACCGTAGGGAATGGCCATCAAGTAGGTCGAGCGGTTCTTCTCGTGGACGATCATATGATAGACAAAGCACAGGATCGTCGTCAAGAAGAACTCGAGGAAGAATCCGCGGGCGATGCTTTCGTAGTTGTTCTAGAGAAGAAAAAAAAATTCGAGGGGAAAGAAAAGGCGCCATTAGGAAAAGAAAGAAACAAAGAAATGGGTCTTCAATACAAAATGCTTGGATGCAGAGTAAAACGCTAGACAACTTACAAGGGCGTTGACTTGCTGGATGGACTCGATCCTGGGGGTGGTTCCACGAGCCAAGGCAATGCCGAGCATAGCACCCAAGATCTGGGCGATAAAGTACAGTACGAACTTTGGGACGGAGATGTGTCCGGTGATGAGGGAGCTGAGTGAGATGGCGGGGTTGAAGTGGGCACCGCTGACGCGGAAGAAGGCCCAGGAGGTGACGAGGAGGGCAATGCCAAAGGCAAGCGCCTGGCCGATTAAGCCGGTGCCGGGTCCCAGGTCCTGAGTGACGGCGTCAGCACCACCGATGGCGAGGTACATGAACATGGCCGTGCCGAAGAACTCGGCGAGGGACTGGATGAGCCAGCCCTTGGCGGATCCTGTTTTCATCATCGGCATTTTTGGATAGGGTGGGTTGCTATGTCAGTGGGGGAGGAAGGGGAGGATTGGAGTCGAAGGAGGCTCGAAAAGAAAGTCGCTGGAGTGAGTGAGTGAGTGAGTGGGTGAGTGGGTGAGTGTGTGAGTGAACACAGCGCAGGAGGGATGATGAGAAATGGAGAGGGGAGATGGCGGCCGCGATGTGTCCTTTTAATACTTGGGCGTGCTTGCCCCCGGGATGGTGTCACCGGCAGGGTTGGAGTCCGGGGCAGGGCCGTGAAACATTTTTTTCGTGTCCTAAAAATAAGCAAATCCTATTGGATGCGCGGATGAGCGGAGCGCGTCTCCGCAGCGCACATTCGCTCATCCTGAGCGTATCGACATATCGACATAGACACACCCCTCGCCGTGACTGGGTCTCTCGTCTCTTATGCCATCTCTCGGACAAATGTATGTAGTGCACTGCAAGCGCACTGTCCATATGACGTCAGCCCTCATGCAAACGCATTGCATAACCACGGAGCGGGTGAAGACGATTATACCTGTACTTGTACTTGTGCTTATACTATTATACGATTATACGGTCTGCGGTCATTCGTTACTATTGTACAATAAGGGGGGGGGAGGGGGGAGACGCACTAGATAGACTGATAGACTGGCTGACTGATAGACTACTAGGGCACGGAGATATACAGCGGGAAACGGAAATCTAATAACATCACTCTTCTTCAACCTTGCATAGTCTGCCCGTACCCGTCCTCCATCCACATCCGCTGCTGCCTGCTCCCGCTCTCCTCGACCTGCCCAAACCCTTGCCCTGGAGATCTCACAGTGACATCGTTAGTGCCTGTCATCATCGCATTGCCGCACATGCTTAGATCCTCAGCAACGGTCGCCATGTCCGACAGGCCATTCTCGGTTGCGCCCGATGCAGATGTCGCAGGTCCGACGTTACCGGCAGCTGCAGCGACAGACATGGCCGTCATGTTGGCAGCAGTCTCCTCAGGCGAAGGATCGTCAAACAGATTCTCGACCCATACGAAATCTTCTCCGAGGGCATCCATCATTGTGAAATCCTGGAACAGATCCGCATCGCTGTAGGCCGGGTTGAGGTTGACAGTCGGCATAGCATAGTAAAACCCAACTTCGTTTCCATCCTCGTTCGTCCTAGTGATCACAAATGGGGGCGCTGCATTGGCGGAGGGATTGCTCTCAGATCCCATCTGCGGAGACGTCAAGGTCCCAACGCTTGTTCTTCCTGGAATTGGTTGTTCCTGTTGTTGCTGGAACTGGTTCTGTGTCGACATAGTCAGGCTGCTATCGAGCAAACTGTGGAGACTCTGCTGGTTGCCGCTCATGTTGCTAAAGTTCATGTCGATGTTGAGCGACAATTCCAAGGGACTGGGCGGTTGCGGAGAATGACGTGTTGGGCTAGGTACCAAAGGGCTCGGTGGCATAGGGCTCGTGCTCCTGTATCCATTCAACATCTGTTGTTGTTGGTACTGCTGTTGTTGGTTGTAGATTGAGGCCTGAGGGTACGGGTTTTGTTGGGCATAAGGGTGTTGTTGCTGCTGCTGCTGCTGCTGCTGCTGCTGCTGCTGATATGGTTGCTGCGTTTGACCCTGAAAGTTGGTTCCATACTGTCCCATCGTCGTAGTCAACGGGGGCAAACCCAATGTTGCCAGGGTTTGTGAGAGACGCCTCTGGTGAGTAGTCAGGGCATCATTCGGACTGAGCGTGTTGGGGCTTGGAGGCATGTGACTGAGGCCTGTGATGTCCATGGGGGATATCACCGGGCTCTTGCCGCCATTCGAAACTTGACATCCCTGGTCCACTGGCGACTGCTGCTGCTGCTGATACTGGTCCTGGTTCTGACTCTGGCTCTGGCTTTGGCTCTGGTTTTGATGGGCATCGATCAAGGCCATGATCCTGAACTTGTGGGGCCCTTGGGTGGGTGAGGTGAGCGCGTTATTACCAGACGTACCCTTGTCACTGCTTTCTTCTGCATCGAAAGACCGCTTTGATCTATGCTTAGGAGACTCGGAGGACTAAAAGAACATACACAGTTAGGAAGTTAGGATGCTGCCTACGTCTGTCAAAGATATACCAATACATGCAGCAATGCCGAATAGGGACAATTCTTACAGAATCCGGTACGCCTTGATCGTTTTGTGTAGTCGACATGTTGTCTTCTTGTTCCTCTGTCAGGCCGAGCATCTGTGTTGAATAAAGCGTATAGGACAGTAATTAGGACGATAGGTACAACAACCATGCATGCAACATGCTTTTTTTTTTTTTTTTTTTTTTTTTTTTTTTTCAAATGGCAACCAAGAAGACAGCCTTACATCTTGAGCAAGGAACGACTTTATCCTGTTATTGTAGACTAGCAAGTTGGGCTGCCTTTGGATATAGTCATACAGGGCCACGTCGAGTTCCGAGTCCATGTCGCAGACAATTGGGATCTCGATCGTCTTGAACTTGATCTCCTTCTTGCGACCTCCCATAGCCTGAATGACCTTTGCGCGGCATTGGTGGCGACCGACACAGTCTGCGATATGGTAGAGGTGGACCGTGGGCGTGAAGGTGCAGGGACGGTCATCTTTGGCGCATCGCTTACACTTGTCGCCTGTGTCTTCTGCTGTCCGGACCTTGTCACAGGTCTTTCGGTTCAGGAAGCAATGGTCGCAGCTCTTGCGGTTGATAGCGGCGTTACTGGCCAGGCTGACCGTGCTATCAGCCTGGAACTCGAAGATTTGCATCGGCATCTTTGGTTAGAGTGGACGTGAGAATGGAGAGGGCGAGGTGAGAGGGAAAAAAAGAGGTTGACAGCTGGTTGCGAGAGGCGTGCGGTTATTTCAAGGGAACGATGGAACGATGGCGATTGGCTGAGCGTTATTAAAGTTTGGTTTTTGGTGCTCAATTGTCTGCAGCTGCCTTTTTTTTTTAAAAAAGAGAACACGAAGGCGGAAGGGAGCCGACCGAGAAAACACAGCAGAAAGGAGGCTAGAGGGAGCACAGAAATCAAGGAGCCCAGTGCTGTCGTTCAGTTGCTGTGGACGAGTCCTAGGTTGCTGGCTGTTGGGGCCCCAAAGTGTTCAGCTGATCAGGAGAGAATGTTGCTTCAATGGGGAAAGAAAGAAAAAACCCGGGCTGTGAAAGCAAGCAGTGGTCGTTGTACGTGAGCAGGGTATATGGGATGGACGGGAGGAAAGAGAATAAGCAAGGAAGAGAAAAAGAAAGGCTGTTGAGGAGAGATGCGTTATGGAGACGGATGTCGAGAGGTGTGATGGTGGATTGATTCGAGGAAGGAAAACGTGGGCGACGCCCTTCACTTTTAAGCACTTCTGGATGTGCATCACACAATTAGGTTAAATGGCTTATCATTACTTAAACTATCATTACATTGTCTCCTTCCCCCTGATGCAGGTCATGTCTTATTTCGCGCAGCCTTGTTGTTTTATCTGTGCTGCTCAGAGGATCACCAGCAAAGAATGCCTCGGAGCGAGCTAAAAAACCCTGAGCCATTGGCTGCCCAGGACTCTTTACGCCTCCACACATCATCTTATGCGCTCCACGAGAACGGGCACTTCCATTTAAGGACTCTTGGCCGAGAGAGAGCGAGGAACTTCTTCCGTAGGTCATGCTTCCTTTTCGTCCGCTTGATCCCTTCATGTCATCATCATCCCATCCTAGCTGTGTCGTGTGTCCCCGTTATCTATCACCTTTAGTCTGTCGGGTGGTGCAGACACACAGCCAACGATTTTCCTGCCATCAATGTGAATATAACAAAGCAAATCCATAGCGACGTTTTTTCTTTGGGCACTTACAATCCAGAGTGGAAGGGGCCATTTGGGCAATTGGGCTAGTCTAAAGATCATCGAATTCTGTAAACACCACCTGGCCATGTGCCTAATAAGAAAGCCCTCGGGCGAGCGGTTAAATGAACGTCGACCCGGTTGGTTTTTTTTTTTAAGAGTGAGCTATTTTGCTTTTTGCAACACAACCAGTTGGACAGATGAGGAATTTTGAATTAAGATCAATTGCTTACCATAAACGGAGCTCGGTCAGGGTACATGCAGACGCCAAGGATGCGCGCATTCTTTTTTCTTTTTTCTTTTCTTTTTTTCTATCTTGATCATGATGTGCGCTGCCACTCATGCACACTGCCACCCAGAGGGAGGCTTCATATCAAATCGTTCAAACTGCAAACCTGCTTCCTGAATTTGATCTGCTGCTTGGAGGTACAGCTCAGAGTGCAAGACGATAACAAAGGGGGGGAGGGGGTGGGCGACGGCGTGACGATCAGGTAGATGGAGGCCCCATTGATTCTCATGGACGATGTATATACCTAGTCTATGAGGAGAGGGGGGGGGGGGAAAGCACCTCTCTTTTCTCTCCCCACATGCCCCTCATCTCTCCCAAGAAGGAGAATGGAGAGCCGGGTGATTTAAAGAATTCAAGGTTTGTCTACTGCCTTGATCACCGGCCACGCTGCACACACCGGGGAGGGGGGCCATTGAAGTTATTATCGCAAACTGTAAAAACACGGACGGAGGATCACGTCCATGAGCCAAAAAAAAAAAAAAAAAAAAAGGTCAATTGCTCTTGGGATTCCTGGGTCCTTCACTAAGTGTCATCTTTTTTCGGTCCCAAAATCTGGTTAGTAAAACTGATAGGATGAACAAATGCCACGCACACACACACAACACAACACGCGCCTCATTCCCTCCCCCCCGCTTCCCTCTCTCAAGGAGTAACTGAGCGGCGAAAAAAGAAAAGAGTTCAGGTCCGAGTTTCCAAGTTAAGACGAACTATAATCCATCCTCGTCGACTCTGAGGACAGTCACTTTCTTGGGCTGTAGGCTGAAGGTTCGTGACACACGGCCACGCGAACATGAACGGCCAAAAAAAAAAAAAAAAAACGGGGGGAATGAGGGCGTCAAAGTCTGTTAAGCGGAGGACGATGGATATTTCCGCGTTGGACCATAACAAAAGTTCTTTTTTCCCCCTTCTCTCCCTCCCCCCGATACAGCGAACACGTTCTCACTCACTCACTCGTTCGCGGGGGGTTTTTTTTGTAGGCCTTATTATCATTATTATCATTAGTATCATCAGGAGAAATTACACTTTTCCCATGACCGACGTACAACATAGACTATACTTTGTCTACACAGGGTGGGAGGGACGTGGAGCATATAAAAATATATCTCTCATGAGCACCTGGCTTTGTTTTCTTTGTTCCCTATTCTTCCTTTCTTCTTAAGAATAATCCAACCACTACAGCTTTTTCCGAAAGAAGACTTCCAAGACCTGCCTAGACTAGACTAGTTTTAACACACCCACACTCACACCCACCCACCCACATACATCATCCACCCGGTTTACTCCTCCAGTACCTCTGTCCAAAAGGATCTTCCACTAGCGTGTGCACAAAGAGGTTTTTAATATTTTTCCTTCAACACGGTACAAACAAAAAAAAAACAGACGCGTCAAGATATAAAAATCCTACCTATAGTCTAGCTGTGCTATGAATGCAGATGAGGGGGAAAGGGGAGGGGGGTTACACGCGTTCAAAACGCCAAGCTCGAAAGAGAGACCCCCCCTCCTTCCCCCCTTCCTCCCCCGATTTTTTTACATTCCACCCTTTCACCCTTTTTTTTTTTTTTTTTTTTTTTCATTACTCTGTGGAACTGGTTTTTTTTTATATATATAAAAAGATCATAATTCTGTGGAACTGGTTTTTTTTGTGTATGTACAAAGAATGAAAAAGATCTTTTTTTTTTTTATTTACTTTGTTATTTATATTATTATGATCTTGATAAGCAAGCAAAGCAAGCAAGCGAGAGTGAGAGAAAGAGTGAGAGAGGCGATTTTGATATTATATTACATGGCGGGCGAGAGAGAGAGAGAGAGAGAGCGCGCGAGAGCGACTGATGAGGAGATGAGGGAGATGAGATGGGGAAAAATGGCACAGGATGAAAATATATACAGATGAGATGAAGAAGGTAGTGCGTATGAAGAGAGTATGTGTGTGTGAGGAGGAGGAGGGGGATTGTGTACAGTCTACTCAGACAGTGCTAGTCTTGAGCAGAGAACGAGAAGGGGGATAGTAATGCGAGTGCGTATGTGTCATGAATGCATCCTCCCCTCCCCCCATGCGTGCGAGGAGGATGAGGAATTGTATACAAAGAAAAAAAAAAGAATAAAAAGAATAAAAAAAAAATGCAATAATGTAGAACAAAGAACCGCTTTCACAGAGGAGAGGAAAGCTCAGTTGCGGAGCGAGGCGTTCCCTTGAACAGGTCTGTAGACCCGGAATTCGGCCGCGTACCGACTCTGGTTGGCGATCAGGGTCGCGAAGCACGTCAACACGGCCGCGCACGTCGCGATGGCCGAGATCATGCAACGCGTTCCTGACCTGACCGCGGCAATGCAGCTCACCAAGACCATCATGAGCAGCAGTGGCGAAGTGTCGCGTCTAAAAAAGGGCAAAAGGAGGAAGAAAAGGAGGGGTTAGGAACGGATGATCGAAAATCCTTTTTTTTTTTTTTCGATTGTGTTTGATTGTCTCGGTATGTGGATAGGGATGTGGTTCCTGTCTGGTAGCTGATGTGTGTGTGTATGATGCACGGTGCATGCAGATGGAGGCGATGGAAGGAAGCTAAATGGCCCGGGTACACAGCTGGACACCTCTGATCATTGTCGATGGATGGGCGTATATGTGTGGTAGCTCAACGATGGATGCAATGCAAGGACATCGGAGATAACAACCCCCTCCCCCCTTCCGGCGCAATGCCATCCACGCCCTTTTTCGTCCCAGAACATGTTGAGATTATCTGGATTGTGATTCGCTGCGAAGGGATATACGCCCTGGCGCATTATTTTTTTTATGACCGAAAGAAGGGCGAAGTGGGATGCCGCTGCGGGAGGGTGCTGACTGGGTCGGACCGGAACATTCTTTTCTATTTCCAGGACGGTCCTCTTCTTTTTTGTCGATTGTCCGGTAACATCACGCAGATTGGCGCATTTGTGTTGTGGTGTTGTATTCATGCAAGACGCGAGAAAGAAAGAGAGATGTTGCAAGAGCAATAGTGGGTCCATCCATCTGTTTGATGTAATGGGGGGGGGGATGCTTACCTCGCTAGATGGCTGGGGATATAGACCTTGCCGGCGGTCTGCTGCACGACGATGAGACCCATCAGACATCCGAGCCAGATGCCCAGGATGAATCCTCGGAGCTGTTGCTTTGAGCGCGCTATAGATAAGAGGACGAAAAAAAAAAAAAAAAAAAAAAAGGAAGAATAGGGTTAGAAACTAGCAGACTACCGGGTATTGAACACGGAAGTAGCCCTTTCAGCTGTTATGTCACTAGACTGCAGTTACAAAAAAGAACGTGCCCAAACGAAAACGCATCATCCGGACGAGGCACAAAAAACTGCAAACAAAAATAGACCACACGTAAACTCTTTAGCGGCGATCTATCTGTGATGTTGCACACCCGTCGCCTATTGTCTACGATGTGATTCCCACACACCACAGCCAACTAGTCTACTACTGGACTAGTTTAACATGTCTGTATAATGTCACCATAAGTTCAAAGGCTCATTTCATCATAGTCTAGTCCTCATTACCGAAAGAGACTATGATAAATTTTTTTGGGTAACGCCCTGAGAACCAAAGCTTCGCGAACCCTTACATGAATCCGCACTACTTCTCGTTCCGACCTCACTCAACAGAAACAAAACAAAAATAAAATAAAAAATTACATAATGGGCTGGTTATCTATCAAGACCCTGGACCATCCAGCCCATCTGTGAACATAGCAAACACATGTTGCTCCAAAGAAAGAAAAAAAAATATAGCGAGGAACGAATGACTGACTGAATAAAGAGGGAGGGAAATACAAATATTATACAGAAACCCGAGCGCAGCATGTGGCGTATGCTCCGCCCATAGAGAAAGTGAGAGGGCTATGCTGTAGTCAATGATCAAGGGAGATGCGCATCCAACGCATAGCCTGCATCGCCATTTTGTGCAGATTGGGTTGACAACAAGTAATATCCAAAGTGGGGGGGGGGGGGAGGGTATCGGAAAAGCCATGGAGAATTCAAAAATGGGAAAAAGCCAGAGTCAACCATGTTTCGGTATTCAACGGGCGAATTTTACAATGAGGTTTACCTTTGTAAACTTCGCGCTTCTCCATATCCAGCTTCTTCTGGAAGGCCTCATTCGGCCCGTTCTCCCAGAGCTTCTTATCATCAAGCAGCTGGGTCGGGCTCAAGAAGCTGACCGGAGATTCGACAAGAGTCGGGGTGAACAGTTTGAGGTAGCTCTGGTTGTTGTGCTGGACCACAGTGAATTTTTGAAGGCGTTCCTGAGACGTGTCGAGGCTCAGCCTGGGACCTCCAGCGCGGCCAGGGGGAGGCGAGGGCTGGAATGGCTTCTCCTGGAGCTGCTGCATCTGCTGCTGGTGCTGCTGCCAGAGGTTGTTGGAGGAAGGGCAGGAGTGGCGGTTGGCATGCTGTGAATTGGAGGAGGTGGAGGAGGGGGTCTGGAAGGAGGGCTTCGAGGGCGAAGGGGGCTGTTGCAGCTGCTCGGGTGTGAAGGTGTAGACGAATGAGGGCGAGGCGGGCGTGAGGGTAATCGTTGTGGATGCCATGATATGTGTGAGAGTATTGGAGAGAAGGCGCTGTGGTCAATTGGAGGGATGTGAGTGTGCTGGTCAAGGTTCGATTAAAGAGAGAGAGAGAGAGAGAGATAAAGAGAGATAAAGAGAGAGAGAGAGACCAAGAGAGATAAAGAGAGAGAGAGAGAAAGAGACGAGCGCGAGGACAGGGTTCAAGGTGTTCCTGGCGTGAGAGAGGAAGAGGAAGACACGGAAACAAGAGAGGGCGGAGGAGTGCTCATCCCCACTGGGTATTTATTTATTTGTGTGTGGCCAGCACCAGAGATAAGATCTC